ACTACTATATGTGCGTATGTATATGAAGCCAGAAGAGGGTGCCAGATCCCTTGGAGCTGGAATTAGAGGCATTTGTGAACTCAGTGTGGGTGCTAGGATCTGAACTCTGGTCTTTGTAACTGAGCAACATGTGCTCATAACACTTGTTGCCATCTCCAGACTTAAAAAAAAAAAGTTTAGATCCAAAAATCTGGAGCCCATGGATATATACAGGGAAGACCATGGTCAGACTGAACACTGAATTCACTAGAGTTTATATCACTGCAGTGGACATTTGATGCTCTTCATGCAGGTGAATGAACTAAATTTTCAGTGAGAGTTACATATAAATATAACTTTGCTTGAAATGTGATCTGAAGGATAGACACTGGAAATTCTTTTTTTTTTTTTTAAACCTGGTGCTAATGTCCCTCTTTACACCTAGGTGGTTCTGTAATAAAATACAGTGAAAATCAAACCCGTAAGCAGTGGCACAGAGAGCCCCCGGAGACTTTGTTGTCAATGCTGAAGGATGCTGATCTCAGCCTGGCATTTCAAACATACACAATATACAGACCAGGTAATGTTGGCCTATTATATGATCATATTTTTATTTATGTGTTTGTGTCTGTGTGAGTGTATGCCATATGTGTGCAGGTTTCTAGGGAGGTCATAAGAGGAAATCAGATAGATCCCTTGGAGCTGGAATTAATAGGCAGTTGTGAGCCACTATGTAGGTAGGTTCTGGGAACCAAGCTCGGTCCTCTGGAAGAGCAGCAAGTGTCCTTAACTGCCGAACCACCTCTCTCCAGGCCCCTCATCTGAATACTCCATGACGATATAGTTCAGTAGTTTTACAGTCATGCACGACGTGTAGCCAGTCTCCAAATTCTATTTCTTTGCAAAGCTGGAACTGCACTCATTAAATTATAACCCCATTCTTTCTTCCTCAAACCCCCGTGACTTTAAAGTTGTAAAGATGGTGCAGGAAAGATGTCTCAGCAGTTAAGAGCACCGTGCATTTCAGAGGACCAAGGTTCGGTTCCCAGCACCACGTGGCAACTTCAGTTCTAGGGAATCCACTCTTGGCACACAAGGCACACGTGTGGTACCTGCAGAAGTGTCGGCACACACACACACACACACACACACTTACACATACTTACACACACATACACACACACACATACACATACCCATATATATAAAAAGATAAGTAAATTTTTGAAGTTCCAAAATTGCATTTTTAGGTGTTCTTGAATCATGTATGGGCAGATTTAACCTGTATTTAAAATTTCTCATACAGATACTTTATTTCTACTTCCTGATTTCTTATTTTAGCAGTCGTAATATTGCTATGTTTGAAAGAGTTCTTTTTAAATTGTTAGCGGTGCTGGGGGTGAAACCCATGCTGTTGTCCACAGTAAACTATGTCCCTAGTCCAGGAACAGCCCTTTTTGCTAATGTAAATATATTACATTAGGGGTAACCTCAAACCTCAAATCTTTCTTTCTTTCTTTCTTTCTTTCTTTCTTTCTTTCTTTCTTTCTTTCTTTCTTTCTTTCATTTTTTTCCCGAGGCAAGGTTTCTCTGTGTAGCCTTGGCTGCCTTGGAATTCTCTTTGTAGTTTTATAGACCAGGTTGGCCTTGAACTTACAGAGATCTACCTGCCTCTTCCTCCAAAGGGTTGGCATTAAAGGTGTGAGACACCACTGCCTAACCAGGATTTAAAATTTGAAACATATTTTCATTACACTTATTAGACAGAACAACCATTTATATTATTCTCTTAGGACTTCAGGTCAGAGGATTTAAGACTGCATGTGTATACATATAACTTGGATAATTCAAATGCTAACTCTCCTTGTTTATTTCTTTTTATTTATTCTTTCGTATAATACATCCTGATGGCAGCCTCCCCTCCACCCATTCCACCTCCCCTTCCTACTTGCTTAAAATCTGAAGTGAATCATACTAAGTAGAGCCTGTAATGGCGTGGTAGTTTTTGACAATGTTACAAGAGATTTAGTTATATTTGTTTATTTGATTAATGTTTATTGAGTGGCTAATATAGATTAAAAGGAAAAAGAGGGCTAGTGTCTAGTCCAACAGTGTGTGTGCTCTGTAGATCGTGCATAAGGCCCCAAGCTAACTCCTTAGATCTTTCTTATTATTTGTTTTGAAGCAGGATCTCCCCAAATTGCTCAGACTATGATATAGATTTCTTATTTTGAAAGTTTTAGTGGATTTCCTTCCCTCTCTTGGAGAAAGTTGCTTTAAAACTTAATCTACATTCTGATACTTCTGGGGTCTATTGCCTACCCAAATCATGTTGAGTAAATACTGTTTAAATTGTCTGGCTTCCCCAGGCGCTGTGGTTCTGGTCTGTGGTGTTAACATCTGAAGAACAGCCTAGGAAGTCAAGTCCAGTCTGAGCAATGTAGAGAGACCCCATTTAAAAATGAACAGGTGAACTGTCATACTTTCTGTTGCTGTTCCCTGAAGGTACTGAAGGATTCTTGAAAGGTCCCCTTTTTGAAGAAGCAGCATCAGACAGTGTCGATGGAGATCACGATTCTGTCATTTTGGACCCAGAGAGATTTGAACCTCGGCTGGATGAGGAAGACACGTATGTTATAATAAACCTAGCATACTTTAACTGAGGGAATGGAGCCTGTATGCACATGTCATATCATACCACAATAATTTCAGATTTAATAATAGCTATACTGCTTTCATCCTAAATGAGCACTTTGTTCCTGTATGGTGGGCAATACTGACATTTTGCTATGAATTCCTGGCTGGATCCTGCTCATAGAATTTTTTTCAGCCCCGACTTGATTTATTTCTGAGTTTTGAGACACTTATAGTCCTGCATCAGCTTTCAAGTGTTGGGATTTTTTTCTGTCTTTCTTTTTTTTTTTTTTTTTTAGATCTTATTATGTGTAGTGTTCTGCCTGCATGTATGCTTGCAGGCCAGAAGAGGGCACCAGATCTCATTACAGATGGTTGTGAGCCATGTGGTTTCTGGGAATTGAACTCAGTACCTTTGGAAGAGCAGCTAGTGCTCTTAACCTCTGAGCCATCTTTCCAGCCTAGATGTTGGGATTTTATGCATGTGCAAATATATATCTAGCTTTCGTTTTATAATACATTAGAGTTTTTGTTTTGTTTTTATTTATGTTTCTTTTTTCATTTCGCATAACAACCACAACCCTCCCTCCTCCTCCCTCCCCCCCCCAGGTCTTGTGTCCCTGTCCCCCACCTCCTGCATCCACTCCTCACTGAGGGAAAGGCCTCCCACAGGGAGTCAACGAAGTCTGGCACATTAAGTTGAGGCAGGACCAAGGTCCTTCCCCCCCTGTATCTAGGCTGAGCAAGGCATCCCTCCATAGGGAATGGGCTCCAAAAAGTCAGTTCATGCACTAGGGATAAATTCTGGTCCCACCGCCAGTGGGCCCACAGACTGCCCAAGCAACAGAACTGTCACCCACGTTCATAGTGGATCTAGTTCGGTCCTATGCAGGTTCCCCAGCTGTCAGTCCAGAGCCAGTAAGCTCCCTCTGACTTGGGTCAGTTGTCTGTCTGGGTTTCCCCATCATGATCTTGACCCCTTTGCTTTTGCTTCCATCAGTAACTGGATGAAGGTTCTATGATGACAATTAAGGTGGTCATCAGTCTGCTTACAGGGGAAGACCAGTCCAGGCACCCTCTCCATTATTGCTAGGAGACTTAGCTGGGGTCATCTTTGCTTTGTTGGTTCCTGAGAGTTCCCTAGCACCAGGTTTCTCCCTAACCCCATAATGGCTCCCTCTATCAAGATTTCTCTTTCCTTGCTCTCCCTCTGTCTCTCCCTGTAGCCTGATTATCCTTTTCTTTACATCTAACATCCACTTATGAGTGAGTACATACTGTGTTTGTCTTTCTGAGTCTGGCTTACCTCACTCAGGGTGATTTTTATTCTGGTTCCATCCATTTGCCTGGAAATTTCAAGATGTCATTTTTTTTACTGAGTAATACTCTACTGTGTAAATGTACCACATTTTTTTATTCATTTTTTGGGTAAGGGGCATCTAGGTTGTTTCCAGGTTCTGGCTAGTATGAATAATACTGCTATAAACATAGTTGAGCAAGTGTCCTTGTGGTATGATTGAGTATCCTTTGGGTATATGCCCAAGAGTGGTATTTTGCTAGGTCTTAAGGTAGATTGATACCCAATTTTCTGAGAAACCACCATACTGATTTCCAAAATGGCTATACAAGTTTACACTCTCACCAGCAGTGGAGGAGTGTTCCATCATGATTATGTAAAATGTTTTTAAAAATCCACAGTGACCCTTTTTTTGGGGGGGGGACTAACATTTATTTTCTTTACTCAATTACCTGTCTTATGGAATTGCATTTTTGAAGTACACACCATGTGCTTAATATATCCAAACTGTTTTCACAGGGACTTTGAGGAAGATGATGAAAACCCTGACTGGGTGTCAGAACTAAAGAAGCAAGTAGGATGGCAGGGTGTATGTGATGGGAAACTCCTTGGAGGATGTGCCTGAACCATATGGGGGAGACACTGATGACTGGGAATGGAATGAAGACAGAAAATACACCACAGCTTAAATAACAACCCAGAACCCTTGTGAGTTTTTTTAACACGGGAGGTCTAGAGATACTATGTGCCTTGCATTCTGATAGAACAGAGGTAGAATGCTAGGCTTCTGGCTAACTCTGTGTGTGATAATAGGAAATTACTTAACTCCTTTGATCCCTCATTTTCTGCACAACGAGAATATTGCCTACCTCATAGGAACGCTGACCAAGACAGTTATAGCAACCCATGTGTTGTTAAACAATCCGTGGTTTCTATGTGATACATTTCCTAAAGGGATCTAAATATATTAAATTGTGACGTAAAAATGTGTGCTATTTTTCAGTAAATACCCAATTTGGTGATGCTTCAAGATGATTTCCAGTGATATTTACCAACTACCAGCTGTCCTTATATGTTCCCCGTAGGCTTTACAAAAAGCCAGGGTCAGGGAATCAGCCTTAAGATGAGTGGGGTGGGCTCCCAGAAGACTGCAGTCCTGGACCTGAGGCTGGAAGACAGCCAAAGAGATATGATGAACATCAGAAACTAGAAAGTGTTATTGAATGGAGTGGGCACCGTGCACATCCATCCTGGACCCCCTCATGCATTACCTCGTTTAATGCTATGACACTTTAGAGAAGGGAGAATCTTTCCCCAATGAAGAAACCGGCTTCTCCTGATCCCTGATGAAGAGTAGGTAGAAATTCTAGTCCAGTCATTTACCAGGATCTGCTGAAATAGGGACTACAAGTAGCTTTTAACAACTTAACTCTTCCCCTTTTTTTCAGTGCTGGGGATCAAACCCAGGACCTTATTAATGCAAGGCAAGTAATCTACCACAGTTACAACATCACAGCCCAGCTTTTGTTTATCTTAACATGCAAAGGCTGCTGTGCATCTCCTTGTACACAGTCATGTAGTCAGTGTTAGATCTCTGGCAATTTCTGGCTTCCCTTGCCATTTTTGAGGAGTGCTGGTTAGGTATTTTGTTTTTCTCCTCAATTTGGGTGTGTCCAGTGTTCTTCACAAAGGTAAGCCCTGTCCTTATATTCTCTCAGGGAGTATATGACGTCAGCGTGGTGTGCCACAGATGCTGCCTGCCTCTATCAGTAGGTACTAACTTTCCTGTCCCTTTTCTGCCCACTGTTGCTAACTGAGGCCTCACGATGCCTAGAGGATTTGATTCTACCTGTATTAACAGCAAGAGTATAATGTTACCCTAAGTCACTGGTTTGACTGCCTAATTGTTTCCAGTTGGCTTCTGTGTACTTTTGTGATGTTCTTATCATTTAAGTTACTAAATTAAACTAGATAAAGTAGGATCAACCTTGGAACCTTCTCTAAATTAAACTAGATAAAGTAGGATCAACCTTGGAACCTTCTCTGTCTCAGCCGCAGAATCAACATCTCCTTTTCCAAGAAGCCATGGTTCCTCTCATTGCTTTAAAGCCGGTATCTAGATGCTGGTGTGCTAGTTGCTCCTGGCAGTATCTGGGCCATCTACATGCCTCTGTTTGTGCATCCCCATCTGTATGCGTATTTAGTTAGTCACAGCCTCACACTGACACCACCGACTCATCCAATCCCCTAAGACTAATTCAGGCTTTTCCTCTTGCTCTTTGTCTACTCCTGTTGTTGCTGAGAGTGAGAAACATAGATTGCAGCCATCTGTTTAGTATACATACAAAATAAAGTCTCACTGCTGTGAGGAACAAATTAGCAACTAGTGTTCTGAGCTTGTGTGTGGCCTCTGTTGTCAGCTTCACCATTCCTAGGTCAGTCCCTTGAACATTAGCTTGACACTTTTCAGATGATGTTTCAGGTTCAGGAAGGCATCCATAGTTACAAGAATATTTCCGAGACACTCAACTTCCATATATACCATCCTCCGCATCTCCTTGTCTGCTCTAATCACTGGGTATGAATGTTACAATGCACCAGACAAAGCAAACTTGAAATTATGTGCATAATTATATCTCAGTCACCGAAGAGTCTAAATCCTCTTGAAAACCAGATGATTTCCACTTTAAACTAAACTCCATGTGTTTGCTTATTTGGGTGAGATTTGCCAGCCCTGATAGCTTTGAAAAAAAAGAGAAATGGGTGTGACACACATCTTTAGTTTCAGCAGGGATGCAGAGACAGGCATCTGGACCTCTGCGGGTTCCAGGCCAGCCAGGGGTGCACAGTGAGACCCCTCCTACCAAAAACAAACAAAATCCCACAACACTTTAGCTCTGGAAGAGGCATATGATAATTTCCATATGCATGCTTCTTTTAGAACATGGTAACCAACAAGAACTTCAAGCATTAAAAAGATTACATCGTTATAAAATTCTGACCCAGGAAGTAGGATGTAGATAAATAAGAAAAGGGAGTAATGTACGATTTTAGAGAAGTGAGCTTTGTTTGGGGGCGGAGCAGGGATCATGGTGGGATAGAAATAGCTTGGGACTTAGAGTTCACTGGACATGACTGTCTTCTTTGTGCTAGCATTTACTACCCTGAAAGTGGTCTATTTTCCCACAGGGCTGCACCTTGATGTACCAATATGACACGGAGCTAGGTTGAGATGGGTGTGCAGGCCCCTGCGCAGCACCTGGTATGGCCTGGTTCTCTTTTTTTGTTTGTTTTGTTTTGTTTTACAAGACAGGGTTTGTCTGTATTGTTTTGGAGGCTGTCATACCAGCCCAGCCTCAAACTCACAGAGATCCGCCTGCCTGTGCCTCCCGAGTGCTGGGATTAAAGGTGTGCGCCACCACCGCCCCACTGCCTGATTCTCTTCTTAATACACCCCTCAGCAGTGTTTGAGACCTTGCATGAGTAACATGCTACCTCCTGGGAATACATGTTATAGTTGAATACTGCTTAGCATGTATGGAACCCTAGAGATCATGACCACCACCTCCCCCAATAACTAACACGTTTTCTCCCAGCATTGCTCATTCATCAGAAACCTCTGTAGCTGGCAGACAGCAGAGAATATACTTACCAACAACACTAAAGAAACTCTCATCCCCATGCACAAAAAAACAGGTCAAAGGCTATCAAAAAAAAAAAAATGCCACCAATTGAAGTCTAGAAAACAGCCACTCCCAACACACACCCTGGAACCCGAAGGTTGCAACAAGGCAATCTGATCTCCTACCCCGAAGTTCTGGAAAAGTTGGCCCCCATAGCGGGTTCTCCCAGCTCTCTAATCTCCACTATAAAACCGAATCTCAGACTTGCGCTGCCTTCTGCACCGAGCTTCAGGTTGCAACCTGTCTCAATAAAAAGTGTGCTCGCCCGGCTTTGAGGTCGAACTCCGTGTTCTCATTTTCCTCCTCTGACTGACTTCTTACAGCACAGGAGTGTGAAGACAAGTTCTTTGTTGTTTTGTGTTTGGGTTCCGACCTCATGCAACTGGAAGGAACACCAAGGATCTCCTCGGCCCGGCTCCCCGCCCAGCGTTCCGCCCACTTTTCCCCGGTGGCCCTGCCCCAGCGTCCTGGAGGTTTAGCTGCCAGGGGCCAGATCTGCTTGGACACTTAAGGCTCACTGCACAAAGCCTGCTGAGCAGGTAGGTTGAGCCCACCCACCGTGTTCTTCAGGAGCTGTCCCAGGCCTCTCAAAGGCTGGGGAGAGAAGTGGAGGGGAGACCAGGAGACCAGGCGACCAGGCGGGAGGAGCTGGGGCAGAGTCAGTTTCCATGGCAACTCACTAGCTACAAAGTCCTGGACCCTACCCCAGCCCGCTTTGCTGGCCTCAGCCTCCTCTAAAGGTAACCCAGTACCCATCTGCTCTTGAAATTATTTGAAAACAACCTGCCCAACTTATAAGGGGTTTATAAGTCTGCGTTGTGCCGGAGGCCGGGGGATGGCAAACTCAAGGCCCGTCTGAACAACTTAGACCAATTTCAATAATAGTCCTCCAAAAGGATTAGGTATAAAGTTCAGTGGTTAAATGCTTACCTAGCATGTGTGCAGTTCTGGGTTCGACTGCCAGTACGGCAAAACTAAAACCTCCATTATGCCCTCACTGTGGCATAAAAGGGAAAAAGGAAAGCACCCTACAACAAAGTGCGTATTTGCCCCTGTAAACACCTGTAGCCAGGTGACAGAACAGTCACCTGGCCGCGGCTAGAACTCTGGGACCTCCCACCGACTGCAGCTGTACAGCCAGTAGACGGGGTGTTGTTCTATATTGGGGTACAACTAGTAGGAAAGTCGCCAGGCCCAACCAAGCCTTGGTTTATATTCTTAGGAAATCCAGTACTACTTTATCTCCATAGGGAGACATGTAATAGTTTGTTTCTAGAGGCAGGTAATTGTGAATGGGTTTTCCACTTATGTAAATGTATGCAGGGACTTTGTGGTAATCCCTTGTTGTATGGGACCAACGACCTTTGAATGGCAAAGCTAGTACCCCAGGCCCTGACTTCCTCTTAGTTACTACTATAGTGTCCCCACTTCCCTAGACTCCAAAACACGGATAGAATAAATTCCCAGGCTTCCCGGTAGGGGGCAGTACCTCCCACTAAGATGCTACCGGTGCTTGCCCCGCCCTTGGTCTCTTTAGAGCTCCAAGCACCTTCGTGAGGTGTCTCTCCTTCAAACACAAGTAATTTTCCAGTTCAGAACTAGAAAGGAAAGGTTTTGTGAGGTGGTGACTGTCTAAGATCACAAAGCTGAGCTGTAATCCAGTGTGAGCTTGAAATCTACCAACCAAACCCTTTTCATGACATTACCTGTGGCCATAAGGAAATATCTTGACTCTTGAAAAGCTGGGTATAAAGTTTTAGCAAACAGTTCCTTTGCCTTTGTCTATTTCCTGCTGGTTGGTTGTCATAAGAAGTGTACAGTGAAGGTTTATGACTTCATTTTAGGAACCTCTGACCCCTGAAACAATGGATAGATTTGACCTGATTAAGATCATCGGGGAAGGCACCTTTGGGAAAGTATACTTGGCAAAAAACAAAAGAGAGAGCAATTATTGTGTCATAAAAGAGGTCGATTTTATACAGGTAACGTTAAGAAGTTTAAAGTTTTGATAATTTAAAGTGGTACCTTCAGCATTAAAAAAAAGATGTACTTACTGTGTGTAGTATATATGCGTGCTTGTATGAGTTTGTGTGCACCATGTGAGTGCAGTGTCTGCAGAGGTCAGAGTGCATTGGATGCCCCGCCCCCACTTGATTCGCAGGCAGTTGTGAGTCACAGGATCCTGGTGGTTCACTGAACCTGGGCCTGTGCACCAGCAGTGAGTGCTGAGCTGTCCCTCCAGCCTCCCGTATTGTCAGTCTATTATGGAAACAAATACCCTGTTCACAATTATGAATTTTAAGGTTCCGCTGATTCTCTTTCATCCCCTTGAAATCCAATCCAAGAACATGAATTTCGTTCACTTTCTTGGTCTCTTCCCCTCCCCCCACTGAACAAAGGACTTGTCATCACGCTGGACACATTTGTGGTAGCTGAATCCCTGGCTGACCCACCTGCTTTCCTATTTCCTTTCCCTTTCCCCACATCCTCCTCCCTCTCCTCCCTGTTGCCCTCCTCCCCTCATCCCTCCCTGCCTGCCTGCCTCCCTGCCTCCCCCCCTCCCTCCCTCCCCCCCCCCCCCTCCCTCCCTCCCTTCCTCCCTTCCTTCCTGTGTTTTTGAGGCCAGGTCTAGATTAGATATGTAGACGAGCTAGTCTCAGTGCTTGTATATGCATGCACGTGTGACACAGCACACAACACACGCGTGGAGGTCAGGGGACAACTTGTGGGTATCACTTCTTTCCTTCTTCCACCAAGTAGGATCCTGGGATCAAACTTAGGTTCCCAGGTTTGGCAGCAAGTGCCTTGACCTGCTAAGCCCTCTTGCCAGCCCCAAGAAACTGGTTTTGGTTTTTGTTTTGAGAAAGGATCTCGCTTTGTAGCTCAGGGTATCCTCAAATCTGGGATCCTCCTGCCTCAGACTACTGAGTGCTAGCATTACAGGCATGTATGGCTTATTTCTTAAAGAAATGCAGAATATGGAATTTGGCTGGCCTGTTTTTGTAGCATATGACTGTTTTATTCTCAGCAGTGACTGCTCTTGGAATGTTGTGTTTTAGAAAGAATTTTCTTATGCTGGAGGATGGATTTCACAGGCTCTCAGATAATGATTACAAATTTAGTTACTAATTTATTTATAATTTGCATTCACTTACTATGTTGTCCAGGATTATCTCAGCCTCCAGTGTAGCTGGAAATATAGTTGTGAATCAAGTAAAACCAATTTCAAACTTCAGTACAATAATATTTCCCCAGCATTGTTAATTTTCTTGATTATAATTGTCACTGATGAGCTAATGGTTATCTAGGAGGCATCCTGCTCCTCCCATAGTGGCCCTGCCTTCAAGAGATAAGTTTTAGACGTGACATTAAAGCCAATGGCACCTTGGGGGATTTCGGATGGCAGTGAGCAGGAAGGATGCCTCTGTAAGCCACACAAGACAGGCTGTCTCAAAATATCGCTTTGATGCCCTTCCAGGCAAAGGAAGCTTCTAAGAAAGAAGTGATTCTTCTGGCTCAGATGAAGCATCCCAACATTGTAACCTTCTTCAGTGCATTTCAAGGTTAGATTTTCCTGTCATTCAAGTGTCCCAATAAACCAAAGACCTTTAGAAAAGCAGTGTTCCCGAGAGTTGTGTATTTATTAAATTTTGCAAGTGTGTTCATTTTCCCGTGTAGCTAAATTGTAATCTGAAATGTTGTCCTTGTTTCCATCTGGTGAGGTTTGTCCTTGCAGACAGGGTTTCCTGTATCCCACGCTGGTCTCAATTCACTGTGTAATTCAACATAACCTCCAGATCCTATTTGTTGGCCTCTGTAGAACTGAGGTTACAGGTGTGTGTGCTCCACCATGCTGAGCCCTTCAAGTGACTTTTTACAGACAGCTTCCCCCGATAAGATTTTGTACCTCGCCTTAATTCTCATTCTACCGAATAGACAATGGTTGGTACATTCCAGAATGTATCTTGGTGGTCGAATAATTTGTATGGCGTATGAGAGCCTGGGTTTTATTTCCTAGCAACACACACACACACACACACACACACACACACACACACACACACACAAGTTTAATGAGTTCAGGGACTTTTATATGCATTTTGGTTCTCTACATGAGGCAGAATATACAGTTGCTGAATGAGTGACTGGACTGGACCATTTTAATAGACTGGAGTATACATTTATTCTATGTAAGGTGGATTTCTGAAGACACTTTGCAGTGGATACAGTTACACTGCTAAGGCCACCTCACAGTATAAATGACCTCTTTTGCCCCTGTACATTGCTTGGCAGCTTGTTGGTAATTAAAACAGGGGCTTAGCCAAGAGCCTCAGAACCTGACTGTGAGAACCAGTTAAATATAGGTTATGCTGGCCCTACAAAAGCTCATCTCCCACTGCAAGAGCCACGGTCTCATGTCTGTTTCTACTTTCCTGCTGGCTATTAACGAGGAGCCGCTCTCTACTAGAAGAGAAACTTGGTGCTCTGCAGGAAGTGGAGCTGGAAATCACTCATTGCTTCTGTCTCACCTCCAGACCCACCAGGCTAATGCTTTTGATTTACTCAGACTTAGCTGGCTCGTATGAAAGATGAGGTTTTGTGAATTTGAAGCAGGGTAGGAAAAGTAAGGAGAATTTAGTGGTTTTCCTAAGGCAAAATGACTTCCCTCAGTAAATATTAACTCTAAGTGCTAAGCATGTTCTAGAGTCAAGCGCTCTAAATGTGCAACAGAATAAACACAAATCTTCTGCACCACTGTGCTTGTTTTCTGTTGTCCTGAAACATGGCTGTAAAACTACTGGCTTCAAGCAATTGTTTGCCAATTACCTTTTCCTTTTTTTTTTTTTTTTTTTGTGCCCACACCTTCCCTTTTACTCAGTTAAGGGCTCCAACCCTGTGGATGGTGCCATCTACGTTGAGGGCAAGTACTCTCTCCTTAATTAATCCAGTCCAGAAACTCTCACAGAAATGCCCAGAGATTTGCCTCCTAGGAGAGTCTAGACCCTATCAGGGTAACAACTAGTCCCAACTCCCTGGGCTACACAGAACTAACCCTTGATCAACGAGGCCACACCCACTCTCATGCCCTGCACTTTCTACGTTTTGAAAGGCCAATGCTATCTAAAATCTCCCGCATCAAATGATGCTGTTTTCTTGCAGAGAATAGCAGGCTGTTCATCGTAATGGAATACTGTGACGGAGGGGACCTCATGCAGAGGATCCGGAGGCAGAGGGGAGTGTTATTCAGTGAAGATCAGGTAAGCTTACTTCTAACATGCTTGCAGTGTTAAATTATTATGTTCTACACACCCGGCTATGTGACATCTGAATCATAAAATCGTGGATTAGTATTCTTGGGAGTTGAAATAGAATTTGGTTTTGAGAGTGATTTTTGTTTTAGAAAGTATTTCTTGCCTTCATATCTCATGTAGGATTAACTTCATGTCTAAAACAGTCATGAGGACGGGATTGGAGAGATGGCTCAGGATGTCAAGAACACTTATTATTCTTGTTTTTTTTTTTCAAGACAGAGTTTCTCTGTAGCTTTTGAGCCTGTCCTGGAACTCATTCTGAAGACCAGGCTGGCCTCAAACTTATAGAGATCCACCTGCCTCTGACTCCCAAGTGCTGGGATTAAAAGTATGCACTAGCCGGGTGTTGGTGGTTCACACCTTTAATCCCAGCACTTAGGAGACAGAGGCAGGCGGATCTCTGTGAGTTCAAGACCAGCCTGGTCTACAGAGTGAGTTCCAGGACAGTCTCCAAAACAATGCAGAGAAACCCTGTCTCAAAAAACAAAAAACAAAACAAAACAAAAAAAGTATTCACCACCACCGCCCAGTTAAGAACACTTGTTATTCTTACAGAGGATCTAGGTTCAGTTCCCAGCACACACATGGTGGCTCATAACCATCTGTAACTTTAGGTCTAGGTAACCTAATGCCCTCTTCTGATTCCCATAGGCACCAGGTATGCATATGATATACATACTTACATACGTGCAGGCAAAACACTCATATACATAAAATAAATAAATCTAAAATAAGAAAGAAATATCATGTGGGAGCAGAAAGATGACTCAGCAAGTAGAGGCACCTTTCTGGGCTATAAGGGGGAATTAGGGTGTTGTAATCAGCAGCTCCATTTCCGTTACTGCTCCCCATCTTTTGTGTCATCATGAGCCTGCACCAGAGGCCAGCAGACTGCTCACTAGATTTGTTCTGTTCCCTTCTGCAGATCCTGTGCTGGTTTGTACAGATTTCTCTAGGATTGAAGTACATCCACGACAGCAAGATACTACACAGGGACATAAAATCTCAGGTAGCAGCTCCGACACACGGTCTAAGACACAGAAACTCTTAATCTTTTTCTAAACACCATTTTTTCTTCACTTTTAGAACATTTTTCTTAGCAAGAATGAGAGGGTTGCAAAGCTTGGGGACTTTGGAACAGCAAGGGCACTTACTAAGTAAGTACTTGTAGAATTATATTTTTCTTTCTATTCAAAATCGACAAAGTGTTCGTTTGAGGCATTATGACTTAAGATGGTTAAAAGTTTCATTATCCCCACAATTTTAGGTGACTGTCTGTCAATGGGGCCCCAGAGATGAATCAGAGCTTAAGAGTGCCCAGAACCCACTACTGGTATCTTCTGTAACTCCAGCTCCAGGGCATCCTTTTCTGGCCTCTGTTGTTACTCCCTTATACATACACACAAGTGTGCACACACACAAATTAATGAAAGTAAAATCTAGAAAAAATTCTCAAGATAAATTGTGAGTAATCAAATGGTGGGAGGAATACTCTGAAGCACAGCAAAGTCATATTTCTGAATATATTATAATGTCCAAAAAACCCACTTGGTTTTGTGAACTTCTTAGTATCATAAGGAAATATTTTGCTATGAGCAAAGTGGAATTGTGAATTACAAGAACAGCATGGTGACAGCTATATAAAACATAGGTGTGGAAGCAGGTGGGAAGAAAACTTATCTGAGTTTCATAACAGGTTTTAGGGATGCTCAGACTCTACGTTGATGGGGGAAGTCCTTCTGTGTAGGTGTTGCCTTATTGGTTGATTAAATAAAGCACTGTTGGCCAATAGGGAAGCAAGATAGGTGGGACTAGGAGTTGAGGAGGATTCTGGGAAAGAGAGACACAGTCAGTCATGAAGTAGAACAGAGGAGTAAGAGGTCTGGACCCTTTCTCCAGTAAGAGAAGATCACATGGAAATACTCAGATTATCAGTTATGGGTTAATAATTAAGTAAGAGCTAGCCAATAAGAAACCAAGAAAACGGCTAACAGTTTCATAATTAATATAGCGTTTCGTGTGTTATTTTTGGGCCGAGACAGCTCAGGACCCAGGCAGCTGGTGGGAAGACTACACGTTACACTAGGTGACTTAAATTTTTTATTCATTAAAAACTTTTTTTCTTGATGATGTTAGGGTTTAAACTCAGGGCCTTTCACATGGGGCTCTGCCACTGAGCTACACCCAAGCCTAAAAATTCCTTTTTGTGTTTTCCAAATTTTACAGCACACAGTTGCATTACATTGATAGCTGGAAAAAAACAGAAATCTTATTATACCTAAGCAATTTTTAAATTAAAATTTTGTCCTTGTGGAGTCTTTAAGTGCTATGACTCAGGGCAATTACTCATTCATATACCTAGCCAATAGGATATGTTTAAATTTTTTAAAAAAATATATAGATATAGGTGTAACATGAAAAATAAATGACCCAGAGACCAATATTGGGTTCAAGCTGAATATCAGAAAAGCAAAATAGTAGACCACCAGCTCTTCTACCTCAGCTCAGCCCAAAGGGGCAATCCTCAAACTGCTTCTGACTTCACTTTGCCTCAGATTCACTCAGATTGCTGTGCTCTCCTCAGTGTGGCTAGAGACTATATGCCTTCCTATCCTCAATGTAGTTGGAGAATGAAAGCCAGCTCTGAGACCCTGTTCCTGTCTTAAATACCTCTCATGAGTCCTGGGATTAAAGGCGTCTGATCCTAAGTGCTGAGATCATCTTTGTGTGAGTTGTTTCTATTTAGGACTAGATCAATTTCATATAGATCAGTGTGACCTTAAACTAATACAGATCTGTCTACCTCTTAATCCTGAGTTTTGGGATTAAAGGTATGTGCCTGGCTTCTATGGCTTGTGGCTTACTTTGCTTTCTGAATCCTCAGGCAATCATAATAAATCATAATTATATCATCACATATATGTATATATATTTTAACATATTTTTAGATTCTTGTATTTGCATGAGTATTTTGCTTGCATGTATGCATGTACACCATATGCATGTCTGTTGCTTGTGGAAATCAGAAGAGAGCATTATATTCCCTGGAACTGGAATTGGGGGTGGTTGTGAGCCACAGAGTGTGAGTGCTGAGAACTGAGCCTGGGTGCTCTGGAAGAACAAGTACTCTTAATTTCCTTCCTAGCCCATATATACTTTGTATATGTGTGATAGGGTCTCATGTAGCCTAGGCTAGCTTTTAACTTGTTATGTAGCTGAGGCTGGCCTTGAACTCCTTATCCTTCTGCCTTCATTTCTATGTATTAGAAATATAGACTCATTGGCCACCATGCCTGGCTTTCTTGTGCTCTCTCTCTCTCTTTCTCCTTCCATATGAATATGTATGTATGTATGTATGTATAAATTTGGGGGTTGGTTTTGTTTTGTTTTTGAGACAAGGGCTTCTCCATGTATCTCTGGCTGTCTTGGAATTCACTATGTAGACAGGGCTAGCCTCCAGCTCACAGAGATCTGCCTGCCTCTGCCTCTCAATTGCTGGGATTAAAGCCACACATCATCATACATGGTTGGGGCTTGAATTGTAAGGTTAAAAACCTAGTGTCTTTGTTAGATTGTTGTTCATATGAAATATGTTGTTTTCTTCCAATATGTGCACAAATATAATTTTGTTGTTCATGTTTACAATTTTCCTTGCATAGTCCTGTCTTCAGCCTTTCTCACTCTACTAACGAAACATATTTTTTATTTACTCTAATTTCCTAGTTCCATGGAACTTGCTCAGACATGTGCTGGGACACCTTACTATCTGTCCCCAGAGATTTGTCAGAACAGACCATACAACAATAAAACGTGAGTTGCTCTTGGTTGGCAAGTGCCTGTCAAATCTGGTGGGTGACACCAAGTTGCAGAATCTGATGTTCTAATCTATATTCTGCTGGCATGAGTACACTTTCCTTTTCTTCATGTATGAGATAAGAATTCCAATGACTAGTATTCTTGGAAGCTTTTGGACTTATTTAAGACAAAACATTTGTATTCTTCATTTAGGATACACAAAAACAAAGCAAAGCAAAAAACAAACACAAAAACACAGGCAGTGGTGGTGCACACCTTTAATCCCAGCACTCAGGAGGCAGAGTCAGACAGATCTCTGAGTTTGAGGCCAGCCTGGTCTACAGACTGAGTTTCAGGACAGCCAGGGCTATTACAAAGAGAAATCCTGTGTTTCCCATATACTCCTGACCTCATTAGAGGGCGACCTACACTTAGGGGCGAGGGTGTCACCTAAAAGGAAACTGACTCTTCTCTCAGCAGTGGATCTGGTGTTAGTATTCGAGTATCTGTATTGACCTGCCCTTGGGGTTCTGACAGGATACACCCTCAGTTGCAGCCACTAAGAGCATAACCTCTGCACATTCACTATATAGGGACTGGTCTCTGGCCTCTGCCCCCTTCTCTGCCCCTTCCCTGCTCCTTCTCTCTGCTCTTCCGGTAAACCTCCCAGGTGAGCCCTGTCATATGGTGTGATGCCTTCCCTGCTGATTCTTTTTTAAATCATAACAATGGATATGTGAATATTAAATTTGATTAAAATTAATAGAAACTAGTAGAAAATGAGGGAAAAAGTGAACAAGAAAAGTCTCCCAAAGAAAAGCCTTTTATTGTGATTTTGCAGTACCCAGGAGGCAACCCAGGATGTCTACCAGATGACTAGATCAAAATCTGATCAGCCTGCTTACACAGCCAGAGAAGGAGTGTTTGCACTAAGTGCAAGTTATGTTCAGCACCACACTGGTAGGATCACTTAGAATTCATTAGGCCAAGCCGGACGTTGGTGGCGCACACCTTTAATCCCAGCACTCAGGAGGCAGAGGCAGGCAGATCTCTGTGAGTTCGAGGCCAGCCTGATCTACAGAGCAAGTTCCAGGAGTGGTGCTGGAACAAGGGTGGGCTAGCTGGCTCTTTGAAAATCCTTCTGCTCAAGGAGGCCAGGGCAGTGAGGGAGGAGTCTAGTAGCTGCCCCATCCCTCAGTGTTTCCACCTGTTTATAGGAGAATGAATTTAGACAAGGTACTTTTCTGAATTATCATTGACACCAATCGTGATTCCGACCTTGCTTGCCATCTGCATCATGCCTCAGAAAAATGGTTCCCTCCCACCCGTATCATGAGGCGCCTGCCACTGAGCACACCTCCGTCCCTCTCTGGTTTTCTTACTGAATCCTGTTTTTGGGCTCCTTGACAACCTCCTTGACATCTCAGATTTCCTCTTGCCTTTTAGATTTAATTATACTTTATCTTCTTTAAAATGACTCCTTAAACCAATCCTTACTACCACAATAAATAATTTTTAAAATAATTGTGGACAGAAGAAAATTCAAGTCCTATATTTCAAGCATGGTTTTCAAATGTTAATCTAGACTATGCTGTCACGTGATGTAACCTTTTCTGTCAAGAGCTTTGAGTAGAATTTTTTCCTCAATCGACCGCTTTCCACTTTTGAGTCAAAACAAATGCATGCTGGAATCTTGCCTTTCTCCTCTGATGTACCCCCAACTGCATTGTATGCACATTTTCTTTGGGCACATGAAATAAATGTTCAGCTATCATAGTGTAGTAATGTTTGTTTACCTGTTGTCTGCCAGGATTCTGAAGGACTTCAAACAATCCTTACTTTAATTTTTATTTTAGAATTGATAAGATATCTGAAAGCACTTGTGAAAACATACCAACCTAAAAAATGAAGTTGTGTCCACATAAAGTGGCAAATATTTCCACCTGTAATTGTTGCCATTTTCTGGCCATGTAAACCCTTCTCTTCTCCAGGGATATTTGGTCTCTTGGATGTGTCTTATATGAGCTCTGCACACTCAAGCATCCTGTAAGTATTTTGATCATCATGTGAATCTTGAATTACTGAAATCATGTTGTGAAAATTAACTTCTGAGGGAAGTTTATTATATTGTTTAAAATTTTTATGGATAGCCAGGTATGGTAGCCATGTGCCTGTGTTCCTATCAACTCAGGAATTCAAGATGAGTATGAGCAACAGAGAGAGAATCCATCTTTAAAAAGCCAAAACCAAAGCCAGGCAGTGGTGGCAAATTCCTTTAATTCCAGCACTTGGGAGGCAGAGGTAGGGGGATCTTTGTGAGTTCAAGGCCAGCCTGGTCTGCAGAGTGAGTTCCAGATAGGCTGAAAAGCTACAGAGAAACATTGTCCTAAAAAAAACAAGAATCAAAAGAAAAAAGAAAAGAAAAAAAAAAAGAGAGAAAAAAGCCAAAACCAACAACAAAATAAACCCAGGAGGTGGAGGCAGGACTGAGAGTTTGAGGCCAGCCTGGTCTACATAGCAAGATGCAGACTCTCTGTCTGTCTGTCTGTCTGTCTCTGTCTGTCTGTCTCTGTCTGTCTGTCTCTGCTGTCTCTGTCTGTCTCTGTCCGTCTCTGTCTGTCTCTCACACCCAGACACACACACAGAGACGCAAATCAGAACTGCAGGTTTGACATGGATAGATATCAAGGTAATACTATAAAGTAAAATGTCCAAGTCAGAGAATAGCATGTGGAGCATGTTTCTATTATACACATGTTCTTTGAAGGTAAAGAGGGTGTGTGGCAGAGTCTGTAGTAAACCAAGCATGGACTTCCAAGGAATGTGCTGATTTTTCCACTCTTTTTTTTTTTTTGGTTTTCCGAGACAGGGTTTCTCTGTATTGTTTTGGAGGCTATCGGTCCAGCCCAGCCTCGAACTCACAGAGATCCGCCTGCCTCTGCCTCTGGAGTGCTGGGATTAAAGGCGTGTGCCACCAACGCCCGGCGATTTTTCCACTCTTGATGAGTGAAGCATTGTGCGTTCATTAGATCCCTTATCTCCATGCTTTATTGGAAGTTGGACACATAGGCACCAACTGCCTAGCATGTGTAAAATTTCCAAGGTTTCCAGAAGCAAACCATATGTTCAAATAAACCATATCATATGCAAATGTCCAATTATATGCCTAATGTCTTGGGCAAGGAGCTGTTCTTAACATTTAGGCAGGGGTGGAGGCAGGACTTTCCAAGGACAGCTTGCTTGCCAACTCTTGTCTGTACAGCTGTCTTCATTATTACTGTTGTTAGTGTTAAAGGCCACATAGCTGGTATCCGAACAAAACCTAAGCTTTATTGCCACACCATCATGTTCAACATTATTTTATATATACAAATGCTTCTTTCATACAATGGAAGACTTTACTGTGGAGAACTTTATGAGTAAATATTTATGTTACAGTATTTGAAAAAGCAAAAAGTAAAATGTCATGTCAGCACGATTATCTCTGTAAAACAAACATTCTTGAAAAGAATTATACTTCTGAGTTGTGAAATTATACATATTTTCCTGTTTATAACTTCCTATGCCTTAGGGTTTTAAGTGTAAGTAAATGGTATTTTGGCAATAAAAAATTAAAAATAAATGAATCTTTTTTAGCTAAAAAAATTAAAATTAAGGGCTAGGTGTAGTTCATAGGTAGATCACACATTATGCAAATGCAGGGCCCTGCATTCAATTGGTGGCACCAAAAACAGAAGCAAAATGAAAATACTAAAACTATAAATCTTGTTTTAAATAGCACAGCATCTCTTGGAGTAACTGCCTGAATTATCCACTTATAACAGATAGCTGATGACCAGATAGGGCAGAGCATAGTGCATCCAACTGCAGCTTAGAAATAGTCATAGACTGGGATATAGCCTAAGGGTAGGGCAACTGCCTGGCATGCTCAAGGCCCTGTGCCAATACCAAACAAATGATAGAAGATAGGTAGGTAGAAGATGTGTATGTATGTATGTATGTATGTATGTATGTATGTATGTATGTGATAGATAGGTAGGTAGGTAGATAGATGGATGATAGGCAGCCTCCTTCCTTCCTTCCTTCCTTCCTTCCTTCCTTCCTTCCTTCCTTCTTTCCTCTTTTTGTATATGGCTTTTTGAGACAAGGTTTCCTGCAACTCACTCTATAGACTAGGCTGGCTTCGAACTCATGGAGATCCACCTGCCTCTGTCTCCTGAGTGCTGGAATTAAAGGCATGTGCCACCACTGACCGCCCAGCTTTTGTTTCTTGGTGTGTTTATTACTTTAACTATCAGTACTCAACTGGTCTTTTATGTGGAATAATTATCTTGTCATTTTAGTTTGAGAGTAATGACCTACATCATCTGGTTCTGAAGATTTGTCAAGCACGTGTTGCTCCCATATCACCCCACTTCTCTCTTGACCTGCAGTCCTTGATACCTCAGCTCTTTAAAGTGTGTCCTCAGGATCGACCATCTATCAATTCCCTTTTAAAAAGGCCTTTTCTAGAGACTCTCACTACCCAATACTTGTCTCCTGAGGTAGGTTTGGGGGTGACTCCAGATTGTGGGAGAGATTTTGTTTTGGATGATAAGTCATGACACATGTATCTGATTTTAGGTCCATTCAAGAAGAATTCAGTCCCATGGTCATGTGCAGAATGCAGCTGCAGACCTCACAACTCACTGGGGAGGTAGTCCACGGTAAGGATCATGTAACCATGTAATCAAAAAGCACCTATGGTAGCTGGGAGTGTAGTCTGGTGGAACAATATTTATCAACTTGCACAAGGCCCCGAGTTCCATCCCCAGCATCAGAAAATGAAATAATAAAACCCCCAATTCTATTCTTACCATCACCACACCTGTGATCCCAGCACTTGGGAAACTAAGGCAAAAGGATCACAAGTGCTTAGACGTACCTAAGCTATGTCTAACCCTGAAAAAGAAAAGCCCAAAGTTATCCTGTTATACCCTGTCAGAAAAAAAGTCTAAAGCCCAATGGTGCTGCTCAGTAGTGTAGCACTTGACTAGCATACGAGACACCGTGGTTCAATCTTTATCTCCCTTCCAAGTACTAACCAAGCCCGACCCTGATTAGCTTCCGAGATCAGATGAGATCAGGTGTGTTCAAGGTGGTATGGCCGTAGACCAATCTTTATCATTGAAGAAACAGAAAGAGAAGTATCTATATCCTTATTTGATACATAAATGTGACTAGGTTTTCACACCACTGTGTGAAATGTGATTGTCTCAAGCTTTGTTGCAATTCCAGCACACTGTGTGATGTTTAAAAAAAAAAGGCTTTTATTATGTGTGTATCACACCATGAGTTTGGACATATTGCTAATATTCATGGTAGAGATTCCAGTAACTATGATAACTATGGACAGTTAGAAAATATAAGTGTATCTACAAGCTAGAAACCATCTGGTCACATGGGTAGAAGGGGATGTTCCTAAGAAGTTGTATATCCATCTCAGAAGTGACAGGAGAGCTGAGCTCCTTTTTTCTCATTAGTCAGGAAACCTTTACAGACATGACATGCTAGCAGAGATGCTTGAAGTGGCTAAATCAAAGCCTGCTTTTTGTTGATGTGAGGCAATGCCGGATCAGGAGGAGAAGAGAGTAGAGTATTCATAGATAGATCATGAGTTATTGTACACTCATGGGGTGTCATTTATTCTGTAACAGAAAAAGTGAACTGTGCATTGAAACTTACCTTGCAAAGCCCATTAGAGCTGAAGTTTGGATCTTAGACCTAATAAAAAGAAGTGTGAGAACCTAGATGTAACCAAAGAATTTAGGTGGTGAGTTATGGGGTAATAAATAAGAACGAACCAGTCTGAGTGTCAAGAATCAGCTGAGGTTCTGGGATGCTCTGTGTATATGGGGGTGAATATTATGGAACAGAAAGTAAAAGCAGGATTAAGCTGTAGCCACATGTCTGGACTTCCAGGGAGTAGAAAATCTCTTAAAGCAATCTACTATAGGGAAATGCAAATAAACCGAAAATTTAACAGGTTATATGCAGAATTAACGAGCTTCTTCATTGTGTTTATTTTGACATTGCATATCCATCTGGATTCAGAATGCTTAGGGGAAGCAAAAAAGTCCATTGTCTACATTTGTGATATAGGAAAAAACACACTAAATTTTAATGAAGGCTAAGGCAAACACATTAGAAAACATGCCTACTTTTCCAACAGCAGTAAGTTAGGAAGAGTGTTCTATGGCTGTTATAAACACCACCACCAAAAGCAATTTGGGGAGGAAAGAGTTTATTTGACTTCCAGGTCCCTGTCCCAGTCCATCACTGGGAGAAGTCAGGGCAGATCCCTGGAGGCGGGAGCTGAAGCAGAGAACATGGAGGGCGCTGCTTACTGGCTTGCTCTCCATGGCTCGCTCAGCCTGCTTTCTTATACACCCCGGGGCCGCTTGTCTAGGAATGGCCCACATCAATCGTCTGTCAAGAAAATGCCCGGACAGGCTTTCCCACAGGGTATTCTGTTGGCATTTGTCTCAATCAAGGTTCCCTTTTTCTAGATGACCCAGTTTGTGTCAAGTTGATCAAAAGCTAAGCAACATAAGTATGACCTGAGAACCCACACTCCTATGACAGTTTAACGACTTTGTCATCAGTGTGAGGAATTGTTTAGGTACAATGTGACCTGTAATTCTTCCTTTGTACAAAAGCAGTTGTTCAGAGCTGGGGCTATAGCTCAGTTGGCAGAGTGCTTGCCTAATGTGATCAAGGCTATGGGTTCAGTTCCCAGTTTGGAAGAAAACAGATGTTAATAATCCCACACTCAGCAGACGGAGACAGAATCAAGAGTTCAAGGCCGACTTTGGCTACATAGAGAGTTTGAAGCTAGCCTGGAATACATGAGAATCTTTTGAAAAAAATAAGTAAATAAATTAAAATGTAGTCATTTCTGTCATTACTAAACAAATTAAAATGTAGTCATTTCTAGAATTATATAAAATAATACCAGAAACATGTTTTTTTTTCTATTCAAAGAAAATATGTTGTGATCCTTTGTCATTACTTCTCTTACTGGTGTAGAATATCAAAGTCATCTGACCTTACATGAGACGTAGCTTCAGTTGCTATTCTTCTGTCAATATTAATGGCCTGGAAAATTTCTAAAACTTAAGTTGTTTTATTTTGGTTTAAGCAATTTTTTGGGGGGGGTTTTCAAGGCAGGATTTCTCTGTATTGTTTTGGAGGCTGTCCTGGAACTCGTTCTATAGACTAGGCTGGCCTTGAACTCACAAAGATCCGCCTGCCTCTGCCTCCCAAGTGCTGCGATTAAAGGTGTGTGCCACCAACACCCAGTGGTTTTAAGCAATTCCAACCCAGGGCTTTGAGCATCCCCCCAAAAGATGAGTATAGCTAGTCATGGTGGTGCAGGCCTTTAATCCCATCACCTGGGAGACTCAGGCAATTGTGGATTGAGTCCATCTGGGCTACTTAGAGGCACTGTCTTACATAGTGGAGGGGGTGTAAGGAGGGCAGAGGGAATAGGACACAGGTGCAAGGCTGTGATTTGACAAGACCTAACCAGGACTGTGCTGGCAATCACTTTAAATGTTCCCACAGCAGCATAGCATCATCTCTTCATTCAGAGCGAAAAGGACTGGACCAGCTCTCTGGAGCTTCTGTGTGTGCAGGGAGCAGACAGGCAGCCATGTAATGGGGACCAATGAGCTATGCATTAGTCATCCCACAGATCTGGAGAGAACCCAGGCCTGTCTTTGGTTCCTTCCCCTAAAGACCAAATCCTGCCCTGGAGAAAGAAAACTCATTAGATTAGAGAATCGTTCTGTTTAACTGAGGCTCCCCCACTGCACTTAAAAACTAGTCCTATCTAGTGTATGATGCATGTGCATGGAGGTCAGAAGATAGTTTGCAGGGGTTGGTATTCTTTCCACCATGTGGGCACCAAGCATTGAAGTCAGGTTGTACGGCTTGGCAGCAAGTGCTCTTACCTATTGAGTCTGTTCACAAAGAGCCCTCTCTGTTTTTGGAGATTTCTAGGCAATCTTTGCCATCCTTTGGTTTTCAGTTACAGAACTCTGATCTTCACCTTTCTTTTCTCTTCCTTCCTTCCTTTTTCTTTTTTTCTTTCTTTTTCTTTTTTTTTTTTTTTTGGTTTTTCAAGATGGGGTTTCTCTCTGTAGGCTTGATTGTCCTGGAACTTGCGCAGTACACCAGGCTGGCCTTGAACTCACAGAGACTCATCTGCCTCTGTCTTCTGAGTGCTGGGATTAAAGGTGTGCACCTTTTTCACAAGGTGTTTGCTTCGGGTCTCCTCATATACTCATTTTCTTTCCTTTTATAAAGCATTTTATTTATTTATTTATTTTCCCTCTTCATTCCAAAGCTTTTCTTTCCTGATGTTGCATTGTGTCTGTTAGAACTTCAGACTACAGATACATTATGAGTTCTATCACCGAGGTGAAAACTCACCCATCAAATCGGTACCTGAGATGGTTAGTGAGAATGCTTCCTCAGGGACTGGAGGATTGGAGCTGAGCATTAGCGCGTGTGCCCATCCCCAGCACACTCATAGGGAGGGAGGGAGAGATAGATACATAGAAGGGAGAGAGAAAGGAAGGAAGGAGGGAAGGAAGGAAGGGGAGAGAGAGACAGACAGACAGAGAGACAGAGATAGACAGACAGACAGACAGGCGGGATTATGTTCCAGCAGAACATTCTTATTTTCTCAGGTCTGCTGCATATCTCCAGAGGAGATTTGAAGCTCAGCAGTATAAGCTAAAAGTGGAAAGACAGTTGGTGAGTAACACTCCAACCGTGGGAGAGCTCAGGGGTTTCCTCACAGCTTCTCTGTCCCCAGACTTGGATGGCTCCAAATTCATTCTTCTGTAAAACCACAGCCACCCACCATTTATTTTCACTTTTTCTTTATAGGTAGAATCTCGCTATGTGGCCCAGGACTGGCCTGGAACTTCAAGCTCTTGCTCAGCCTCCTGCCTCAGCCTCCCAGGTGGGGAATACAGGCATGGGCTACCAGGCCTGACACCTCACTCTCCTGACCTGTCCTTACTTTCATATGACACCCCAGGGCTGCTAAGCCTCAGAAGAGCTTAACCTGACAGCTACAACTGACCCAAGTGATGGCACAAAAATAGCTGTTGCCTACAGATAATACCGCTGGCTCAATGTTGAAATGCTGCTTAGAGGGCCGGGCAGTGGTGGCACATGCCTGTAATCCCAGCACTCAGGAGGCAGATACAGGTGGATGGATCTCTGTGGTTTTGAGGTCAGGACAGCCAAAACTACACGGAGAAGAAACCCTTGAGAGGGGTTTCTCTGTGACTTTGGAGGCTGTCCTGGAACTCGCTGTGTAGACCAGGCTGGCCTCGAACTCACAGAGATTCGTCTGTCTCTGCCTCCCGAGTGCTGGGATTAAAGGCACTTGCTACCACCACCACCCAGCAGGTGATATACTTCTTGTCTTGAGTAAACAGTCCAGATTAAGCCAGAATATGCAAGTATGCCCTATAAATGATTTCCTTTCATAAACAGGGTCTTCGCCCATCTTCTGCTGAGCCACATCCCAACGAGAGAGAAAAGCCACAAAGCCACAGAGGGGAGACTAAACTCCAGGAGCTCCGGTATAGGAAGAACAGGATGAAGGACCAGGTTTAAAATTTCTAGTTCTGTGCATGTGCCATGGTCCTTCCCACGGCAGCCTTTCTTGCCATATGTCACCATTGCTCCCAGCATCCCTGTGGACACACAGAGCTGAGCTTATAAGACGTTTGATAGAGTGATTTTTATTACACCTTTTAAGACTACTGTAACGAAACACAACAAAATAGGTAACTTAAAACAGTAGCAACATTGTCTTGTGCTTTTGGAGGCTGAAGGCCAGAACCAGTGTGGCTAGTCATGTGCTCAAGCCCAGAAGCCTGTACACAGTAGGCTTGATGGCTTCTGGAAGAGGCATATTGTCTTGGTTGTGTGTGTGTGTGTGTGTGTGTGTGTGTGTGTGTGTGTGTGTGTGTGTGTGTGTTTCCTGATGGCATCTAGGCATCTGGAGTTAGGATGTTTAAGGTACTTCTTGGTGTAGATTTCTAGTATTTATCGGGTAGGTTCTTTGGTTACTGTTGGTCAATCTGAGTCCTAGCCAAGTGTGGTGGCTGTGGGGTCTCTGGTAGAGAGCTGTTCTGCAGTTCAGCATGGACTCACAAAGGAATGGAGATGGCCTAGAAGGAAAGGTTGAGACAGGCTGTGGGGAAGAACAAGAAAGACCCTGGATCCCTTCCAAGAGGCCAAGTGTCAAGAGGATAGAGGTGCTCTGGGAGGAGGGTGCTCCGGGAAGAGGGGTACCTGTGGGTGGGCTGCTGCAGAACTAATGGTGAGTCTGGAGGGACTTTCATGGAGGATAGGAAGAAGGTTGAAGGTCCCTACCTGAGTCCCAGCCTAGGCTGGCAGCTTTGGGTTTCTGGTAGAGAGAAGTTCTGTGGGTAGGCAGAGTCCCAAAAGACTGGAGATGGCAGAAGGAAGGGCTGGAAGGTGTTTCCAAGAGCTAGAGGGACCTGGGGTCCATGCCAAGCAGCCAGGTCCGTAGTGGATGAGAGTGGGCTGTGCTCATTTTCTAAAAGGCATCTACGCATATTGATTGAGGGGCCTGTTCTACCCCAGAATGACTTCATTTTAGCTGATTACATCTGCAAAGACCCTGTTTCCAAATGTGGTCACATTCTGAGGCGCTGTCTGATAAGATGGGTGGATGTGTGTGATGATGACGAGTGGGGTCTTTGCGTGTGCCCAGGCTCGTCTTGAACTCAGGTGACCCTCCCACCTCACCTTCCCATGTAGGTAGGACTAAAGGTGTGCACCCCAGCTCCTACACATACTTTGAGGGGAAACATTCAATTAATGCAAAAATGGAATGTGCAGAGCAGCTACACATGATTTGGGATTGTAATAAAGGTCTCTGTCCCGTACGAGTGTGTCCCTCCCAGGCTATGAAACTCCACAGCCAAAGTGAACATATGATTACATTTAGAAGTAACTGGCTTTCTAATGATTACTTGTATTATACGTTTCAGAAATTGTAGGCTTTGTAGATATTGTTTTCAAGTTTTAAATTGTTTTTTTTTTTCCTCAGAAATATTGGAAACAGCTAGAGGAGATCCGCCAACAATACCACAGTGACATGAAGGAAATTAAAGAGAGGATGGGGAGAGAGTTGAAGGTGAAGTCATTCTACTAGAGTGAGCATTGTTCTTTCGATTTAAAGGTGATAGCAAAAGCAATTTAATATTTAAAGCGAGGCTGGTAACCTCGTAGAGAGAGGTTCTGTGGGTAGGCAGAGTCCCAAAGGACTGGAGGAACCCACACACATGCTTATACATGTACATATGTATGTGCACATACATGCACAAACACATACACACATGCATGCATATGCACATGCATATGTACATTCAAACACATGTACATGCACGCATACAGACATGGACACACACCTATGCGAACACAGTCTCCTCATAGGAAATTAGGATATGAGATAGAGGTGATCCTTCAGTTTCTTTCTAAATAGGAGATTGGTCAGCCCTAACAAGATTTGTGTTAATGGTTCACTGGAGGTCACACAGTGCCCCGAACCACAGGACATTCAACGTGGGTGCTGAGGGGGCACCTAGGAGAGAGATGAGAACAGGAGATATGAAAGAATGGATGTCAAGACAGGAGTCTGATCAAGGAGACACCTTTATTTCATCCCACAGGGATTTATATAGGGGAGGGAGGAGACGAAGGAATGGGGGTGTGCTGTAGCTGCAGTGAGCCTGGTGGAGCAGGTCAGTGGGAGGGGTAACCCTCTGTGCTGCCCAGAAACCTAATTCGTAGGGCAAAAGGTCGGGGGTAGAGCCTCCAGTGTTGCTAGGTAACCTGACTGTAGGTTCTTACTTTATCTAGCTCAGTCTTTACTATGTGCTCGCCTAACTCCTGTTGGAATTAGGGGCTTTCTGTTGAGCTAATCTTTAACTGCTAATTAAGCCACAGGCCTGTTTCTGGAATTTGGCAGAGGTAGCAGGTGGTCCAGAGTCACATACTCTCTATGAAGGTTGAGTCACATCTTCTCTTATAAGTACGTGAGGCAGCCGTATCTGGTTGATGGCCAGAGGACCCTGACAACACAGGATGATGACAGGATGTGGGGGCTTTAATCAGGAATTGTTGTTCTTAAAAATGCATATAGTCTTCCTCATAATCAGAAGGCCAGTGTGTACTGAGCAGCTGCTTTAGGACAGAGCTGGATGAGATGCAGGAAGTCCATAGTGAGTATAGGCTCATGCCCAAAGGGCCAGAGGTTCTTAAAGTCAGAGGTGAGCAAGGGCTCCCAGTCTATGTAGTCACATGCAGGGGCGCTTTTTCTTTTGTGGGGATATTATACTAGTAATAATATATAACCATATATTATATTAGTAATGATTGTTAAGTTACCATAGGGCATAATGGCTTCTGCAGGAGGCATATTGTCTGTTCATGTGTGTGTGTTTGTGTTGGGACCTAGACATCTGGGGTTATGATATTTGAGGTTAATGATAAACCACGTATAAAAGGGTGGTCTCAAAAGACTGTACGGTCTGATGTCATTGTTGCCTTAATCTGTAAGTACAAGCTACACTGCTCACATTTCCCAGGACATACTTCTTTCTTTTACGAGACTATGTGAGGCAAAGTCTGATCACAGTTGACATCATTATTGAAAAACCCACAATGGTGTTACCCTGGAAACTCATCCTTCTATCTCTTCAGGAGATGACTTAGCTAGCATGTATTTGACCCGATGTATGAAAAGCATACAGGTATTCCAACACCATGAATCCCTGCAGCATGCACCCTGGATTGCTCCTTTTCTGAGGCCATTGGGCTCTGCAGAGGCCACCTAGCATGCTCCTTCTTAAATAGACCTGCCATGCTGCTGCAGCTGATTCGCCACCTCCAGCCTCCCCCACCTCCAAACGAATGTGAAAAATGGTATAAGTGAGCACAAGTGGAGTTTTCCAGTGCACCTTATTTATGTCCTGTCACAGAAAATTCAACAACTCATCCAGAGTCACTTAGCCGTTACAAGACCAGCTAAGGGTGTGTCTCTGACACATCTGCTTTCTAGCAGATGTAGTTCTACTTGTAAGTTCACATTCACGAAATGATAATGGAACGAGACTGCCATAGTCAAGCCTCATAGGTGCATAGCAGCAAAGATGAGGCGGCTGAGCAGAGGGAAGGCTTATGTGGAGGAGTTGATGGACACGGGGGTGGGGGTGGAACTGGACTGACAAGAGGGGGCTTTAGATGGTCTAAACTCAGTGGCCTGTTCTAAATGAGCCACACAAAGGCCTGTGCTGGATGTAAGAGCTTCGTTCATGGTGGGGAGCCTGTCCCACCATCAGCCTTCTGCACTGCAGGTCTGCAACGGGAAGTCTGAGTCCAGAAAAGCGGGATAGCAGGCATTCCCCCTCCTTTTCTCTTTCCCATTTTTATTTTGGGCACTGGGGATCAAACTCAGGTTGTGCATTCTGCTGGGGCCAGGGAGCGTTTCTAGAGCCCGTGAAAGAAGCGTTTGGTGAAAACCAAATCAGTCCCAAGGTAAAGGAGGAATACAGAAGGCTCCGAGGTGTCTGTGACTAGCTCTTCATCCTCTCAGGGAGAGACAGAGGGTGAGCAGCCTACAGAGCCAATCTCCCTGACTGTGTGTCATCCTTATTAAAGGAGATGAAAGAGAATGCAGACCTCAGTCATAAAACCTACCTGGTGAAGAGGAGTAACCTGCCCGCCCACCCTGATGCACCCAAGGAAGAAGCCTCGACACAGGTAGAGATGCTTTTGCTAGGGCTGTGTGAGCTTCCCAGTGAGGGTGCTCCTGTCCCAGGGGTCATCTGACCTCTTGCTGTGCCACTTAGTGGGGTGGGGACCTTTTCAAAAGCTCAGGCGCCTTCTTGTCAGTTTTCCTTTCGTGTTTCTCCCGTCCTCCTCTCCTACATCTCCTCTAGGCAGCTGCTCATGAACTTTCTGTCACAATGGACTCGTTTGCATTTTCTAGATGAGAGCACGATGTATAAATGCCACCATCCCTTAGTGTCCTCTTTCATCTGGCTTCCTTCATGCCACAGGAAGCATCATTATGTTTAATCATGTTGTTTCACCTATGTTGTCCATAGGGTTTATCATCCCTTGTCACTGCTGAGCATACCCCACTGTATAAATATATCAAAATTGGTTGTCAATTCAACTATGAATGGATATTTAGCTTTTGTCTATTGCAAACACCTGGGACAATCATGGGCAAGTGTCCATCCATGTATGTTGAGGTGCTGTCTCCCTAATTTCTTTGGGACAGAGTTTACATCTAGTCCTTAGGCTATCGTAGGTGTCCAGGATCTGCCTGTCTCTCAGGGTTGCAGTTACAGACACACATAGTCATGCCTAGTCTTTTATGATGAATAGAGGCGTTCCAGTGCAGGGCCCCATGCTTCAGCAGCAAGGGAACTTCCATGCTGAGGCATCTCCTAGCCCTAATAGGCAAAGCTTAAAGTGATAGGTGCATCTCTTCTTTCTTTTGGCTTAACTACATTGGCCTGGGATGGCTGGATCATGTAATACATGTATGTTTAATTTCTCCCTTTTTGTAGTTCTAGGAACTGAACCCAGACCTCCACATATTATAGACAAGTACTCACACTAAGCTGTGCCCTAAATCCTATTTTTTTATAGAAGAGAAAGGATTTCATAGCATTGTCCAGAAGGGCCTCAAACTCTATATCTAAATATCCTTCCTCCTCAATATCTCATAATCATCTTGCCTTATCCTCTTGAGTAACTGGAATTATAGGCATGTTCCACCATGCTTGACTGGTATATTTGTGTATATACACATACGTGTGGGTGCACATGCATGTCTGTGTACATGTGTGGGGAGGACAGAGGTGAACCTCAAGCATTGTTCCTTAGCAGTCATCCGTCTTGTTTTGGGGGACAGGTTCTGTCATGGCCTGGAGCTGGCCTCGTTTCCTAGACTGGTTATTTAGTGATCCCCAGGAATCTGTCTCTGCCTCCCCAGTGCTAGGATTGTAATAATGAGCCACCTTGCCCAGCTGTTTTTTACATGCCCACTGTAGATCAAACTTAGGTCTTCGTGTTTACAAGGCAAGCACTTTGCCCACTGAGCTGTTGCCCCAGCCATATTTAATTGTTCAAGAAACTGCGACATTTATTTGCAAAGGGGGTGTTACATTTTCACCAGCATTTTATGAGCCCTGGTTCTCTTGTGCCCTAGCTCTCTCCTTATTGGGATCGGTCCTTCAGACTCTGGCAACCTTGGTAAACCCGTGTTCTCAGCCTTGCCTTACCAAGACAACAGTTCTCCAGCCCAGCAAACTGTCTGGAGCATAGGCAAGGGTAGTTGTTGGGTTCGTCTCATTGGCTCCTGTTTATGTGAGATGTTGAATGAGGCTGTGGTTGTTTTAGGTAGGTAAGGAAATATGGCCCCTGGTACACTCTCTTGACTGGAAGCTGAAGTCTGGAAGGTTACTTCTTGAGAGGGGCAGAACAATGGAAAGCTCCATCTGGATAAATTCAGTTAGAGGAGACCAGAGGATCACACAGTCACTCTAGTGATTTTACCTTGCTTTTCCCACAGCATGGAAAATGTTTTCCTTGTACCTTTATATGTTATACCCAAGTTCCAGGCCTGAAATAAAATGCCAAGTATTTTTTCTATGCTTTACCACTCCCTTCTGCTCATTTTCCATCCTATTACTCTATTTTCTTTTCGTACTTGTTTTGTTTGAGATAGAATTTCATGTAGCTAAAGATGGCCTTCATCTCCTGACCCTGCTGGCTTTGTCTCAGAACACTGAGTCACAGGCACATGCCACCATCACCTAATCTGATTGATTGTTGTTGTATGTATATATGTATGTGATATATGTATGTAAATTAGTGCAGGTATGCATGAACCACCGGACATATGTAGAGCTCAGAGGACGACTTTTGGGAGTTGATTCTTTCCTTCCACTGTGGCTCCCAGGTCACCAAGCTTTCATGGCAACTGCTTTTACCTGCTGAGCTATCTTGCCAGTTCTCCCATTTTATGTTCTCTGTGCATCTGAGACTTGCTTGAAATCATGTCATTAATTTGCATACTTGTGTGTTACCTAGCTTACCCCAGGACTATGCAAGCTTTATGTCATAGCCATGTATACTGTGTTCTTGATTGTGCAGGGGTATGGATCACGGAGGGCAGGGATAGCTGAATAAGAGTTTGTAAAATTCTATCTCTCCAACCAGCCAGATTCTTACCACCTTCTCTCTGGGGCCTAGCCATACCCTCCCTTCCACACAGTCTCTCTAACCTACCAGATATAGCCTAGGTCCCATAATCCCACATCCAGTGCCAGAGTCTTGCCTGGCTACCTCTGCCTGAAGAGCATCCAACCCTGGGTTTCCACCCTTAGACACACACACACACACACACACACACACACACACACACACACACACACCCTTGTTATCAAAATTAGGTCCTATGGCTGAGGTGTGGCTCAGTGATGAAGCACTCATCTAACAGTTTTATTCCAAGCACTGTGTTAGAAAATCATGTTCTTGAATTGAATTGGGTTAAATTGCATTGGAGTAAAGAGAATTTTGTCACTTTATGAAATTTTTGCCCATTAAATTGCCAGTGTTAAGTACATAACTATTTTAATTTGATGAATACTGTACCTAACTTTTTAGTGAATTATGATTAACTTTTATTGGCAAATAAAATGTTTTTATTCTAAAATGAATAATCAGATTCAGTGTAGACACCAAGCAATAGAAATATACAATGTGAATTTAGGTACTATGAATATATAATTTGATATGAGGTGACAGAATTGTGGGTTTTTTCTAAGCTTTTAGAATATTGAGACTTGAAACATGTTAGGCTTCAGAACATAAAAAATAGTAAAATTTCAAAGCAGATATATAAAACTAAGATCCAGACATTCTTGTCTTTTGCTTACATACTAGGAAGATGATTACTGTATAGGTTGACTGTGTCATTCCCATTAAATTATGGAGCTACACTAAAGATCTTAAGTATGTGTGCTGTCAACATGAATTGACCTCAGGTGTTGTAACTTGAAGACTTTATTGAACTGCTAAACTAAGATTTTTTCTTGTTTATTCTAGAGAGGGATGAAGTTTGAAATTAGCCTGGATAAGTGTATTCCCGAGGAAGACGCTGTCCAAGAGAAAGAGGTATGACATTATGTACACATTACTGTGGTGAGCTATGACAAGTGAGTCTGTCTTCAAGTTCGTGATATTGTAGCACAGGCTGTAATGAGAATTTCCTAAATACACTTAGAAGCAAGGTATCTGGTGTATAAATGAACTTTCCAGATACTTCTTATCCTCTTATTTAAAAAGATGATACTATTTCCTTGGATGGATGATTCCATTTTAATTTATGTTTCTTTCATAAAAGAGCTATTTTTCTGATAATGTTAACTTTTTATTATTGCCAATAAAAAAGTTTGGTATAGCCAAAAGTTAATATCCTAACTTAAAAATAATTGAGTAAGTAACCTGAAAATTTCATTTTAGATTTTAATTAGTTCTAATAACTTTGCAGCTACCTGTGGGTAAATCTCAGTTGTGCATCTGAGCTGCCCTTGATGTAGCAATAAGTGCACATTCATCTTTTAGATTACTAAGAGTTAAATATGGGCATCATACCTGACACTCAGTTTTGTTGAATTGTGCTTCTGGAGATTGAATCTTATACGGTATGCAAGGCAAATTCCCTGCCACTGAGATATCCCACCCCCCAGCCCTCTCGTGGCCACTGAGCTGTCCTCTCATGGTTCCTAAGCTATCCCCCAGTCTTCTCATGGTCACTGAGCTATCCCACAGTCCTCTCATGGTTCCTGAACTATCCCCCAGTCTTCTCATGGTCACTGAGCTATCCCACAGTCCTCTCATGGTTCCTAAGCTATCCCCCAGTTTTCTCATGGTCCCTGAGCTATCCCACAGTCCTCTCATGGTTCCTGAGCTATCCCACAGTCTTCTCATGGTCACTGAGCTATCCCCCAGTCTTCTCATGGTCACTGAGCTATCCCCCAGTCTTCTCATGGTTCCTGAGCTATCCCCCAGTCTTCTCATGGTTCCTGAGCTATCCCCCAGTCTTCTCATGGTCACTGAACTATCCCCCAGTCTTCTCATGGTTCCTGAGCTATCCCCCAGTCTTCTCATGGTTCCTGAGCTATCCCCCAGTCTTCTCATGGTCACTGAGCTATCCCACAGTCTTCTCATGGTCACTGAGCTATCCCCCAGTCTTCTCATGGTTCCTGAGCTATCCCCCAGTCTTCTCATGGTTCCTGAGCTATCCCACAGTCCTCTCATGGTTCCTGAGCTATCCCCACAGTCCTCTCGTGGTCACTGAGCTATCCTCTCATGGTCCCTGAGCTATCCCCCAATCTTCTCATGGTCAATGAGCTATCCCACAGTCTTCTCATGGTTCCTGAACTATCCCCCAGTCTTCTCATGGTCAATGAGCTATTCTCCAGTCCTCTTGTGGTCACTGAGCTATCCTCTCATGGTTCCTGAGATATCCCACAGTCTTCTTATGGTCTCTATCTTCTTAAATGTTTGGGGGCTGGGAAAGCAGGTCAATGGCAGAGCATGCTAACATGCAAAACAGTCAGCATTGAGTCCTCCCAATTCTTATATGGCTGTATTTTTACAGATATTTTGCTATATAATAACTCCATTAGCGTGGTGGGAGTTAGCGTTTATTCAACCATTTGGTCCCTGATGCCCCAGAGCTGTAGGATTTGAACAGAAAAGGTCTGGGAAGAGAGGCACATCACATGGCTTCCATGATATGAGGTGCTGAGGTTGGCCAGAGAAAACAATTGTAGCTGCTAGAGTATTCTTCCTTTCTTAGCCTATGCTCTCTATGCCTGAAACCAAAATGACCATTGTAGTATATTGATGATGTGTAACACATATTCTTTCCCGTCAGCTGCCTGGGTCCCACCACTGTCTCTGCCCCCAAATAACACAGAAGACACTATATTAATTTTGAGGCTATTGGCTGTTTGCTATGGTTTCTTAATGGCTAGCTCTGACTTAATTATTAACCCATAATTACTAATATATATATTTTTTTATAAGGTCTTATCTTACTGAGAATGCCAGACTTGCGCCCTCTCCTCCCAGGATCACATGGTGACTCTCCACTCTTGACTACATTTCCCAGAATCCTCCACCTCTCCTAATCACACTTATCTTGCTTCCCTATTGGCCAGCAGTGCTTTATTTTCAACCAACAAGACAAACATATACACAAAAGGACTTCCCCCATCAGTGATGGAATATTAGCAGAAGTTTTTAGGACCTGTTCAACTTGATTGTAAAATTCAGTGCACTTGGTGTTCATGGTGTCAACTGCTGGGGAGGATGAGGTAGGAAATTCTAGAACCCTGTGGACAACATCTATCTTAAGAAGAAAAATAAGGCTGGGTGTTGGTAGCGTAGTCCTTTAATCCCAGCACTCGGGAGGCAGAGGCAGGTGAATCTTTATGAGTTTGAGGCCAGCCTTGCTTCACAGAGCAAGTTCTAGGAAGGCTCCAAAGACACACAGAAACCCTGTCTCAGAAGAAAGAGGAGGAGGAGGAGGAAGAGGAGGAGGAGGAAGAAGAGGAAGAGGAGGAGGAAGAGGAGGAGGAAGGAGGAAGAAAGTAGTAGTAGTAGTTAGAAGCAAAAGTTGTTCTTCCAGAGGATCTGGGTGCTGGATTCCCCATCCACATGACATCCCACAAGCATCTGTAATGCCAGTTCCTGGGGATCCCGCACCCTCTCCTGGCCAACTTGGTCACCAGACACACAAGTAGTATACAGACATACATTTAGACAAACACTCATACAATAAAACAAAAGTAAATAAATGTTTGACAAATTAGAAGAAAGGGAATATTATGTTGGATACTGAGAGAGAGGGGGTGAGTAGTGTGATTCGGAAGAGAGAAAGCCTGGGTAAAATTGAGTTGTTCATCGTGTGATCAGGCTGGCTACTATGTGCAAGAAGAAATGAAAACATTGCTGTTTCAGCTTTAAAGCTATATGGATTTGTTTTACACACCCCCCCCCCCCCACACACGCACATTACTCACCGTGTAGCTTGAAAATTAGTATTTGGGAACACATACACATTAATGCATTTAATTCCTGATAATGGCTTCTTTCTCATGAAAAACTGTGAAATTTCTTCAGACAGTGGATAAACTAAATGATACTTTGAGCTTTGAAGACGGGATGAAGTGTCGGGAGTGTAGACCTATAAAGGAGCATGAAGATTACACAGACAGAGCCTTTGAGGAACTCTGTGGCTCAGAATCAGGTACTCGTTGCTTGAAAGTGGTAGAGGAAAAGGGAGCTTTTCATTTGCAATTGTCTCCAACTCTCTCCATTGTGCACATCCTTCATCCAGCATTCCCTCCTGCCCCCCACACCCTTCATCTCCTATTATTTCCTGACACACACACACACGTACACGTACACGCACACACACACACAGACACACACACGCACACTCTTCATCTAGCATTCCATACACACACACCCCCTTCATCCAGCATTCCACACACACATACACACACACACCTTTCATCTAGCATTCCGTCCTCACACACATACACGCATGCATAACACATGCACTCACGTATACACACATACACACACATACCACACACACACACACACATATACACACGCACACACACGTCAGTTCTACCCACGTCTGCAGTCTCAGATGTTCTAGGAATGCCACACTTGTGGGTCTTTCTCAGTACCCACTGAACAACTCTCTGGGCTGGTGTGACGAGTACCTCAACCTCATCCTGTGTCCTCCTCCTTCCCAGAGACCTTTGCTTCAGGCCAAGGTCATTGCCAGGGTGATAGCTCCTTCTACACTCCCAGGCAGCTCCTCCTCAGAGTTGCCTCTGAACTTTTCCTCTGTCTCCACGCCTTCTGCTGCCACTCCTGATCACTGTGGTGACATAGGAAGCCATGAAAAGCCCCATGTTCCGGAGCCAGTGGTAGTCTGAACCCTACCTGGCACTGCGGTTTCTGGTCATGGGCCATTTCTTCTGTTGCAAGTTACTTTCATGGTCTGAACCCCTTTTTCCTCTTAGAAGCATGGGGAACGGTAGTAGTAATAAGCACACAGGGTTGCTGTAGCAATAAGAGTGTGATGTATGGTATGTGCAAAGTGCTGGCCTAAATGATGGGTGCCTAATACATGATCTTCCCTTAGCTAAAGGGTTGATTGACTTTTATGCATGTGTGCCTGCATGGGCTGATGTGTACCACATACATACACCATCATGTGGTGGAGGCCAGAGGCAGGTACCTGGAACTGGAATTGCAGGAGGTTGTGAGGCACCTGATGAGGGCTCTGGAAGAACCCAGAGTCAGAGCAAAAGTTGTTCTTCCAGAGGATCTGGGTGCTTGATTCTCCACCCACATGACATCCCATAAGCATCTGGAATGCCAGTTCCTGGGGACCCAGCACCCTCTCCCGGCCAACTTGGGCACCAGACACACAAGTCGTGAAGCTGCTTGTCCCATCACATCCACACTCAGAAGCAGATGTACCTGCTCCTCAGTTCACTCTCTCTACTCTTCTACAGTCGGGGTCAGCCCTGGAGAGTTGTCTGCCTACAGGGTGAAGACTTCTCCCACATCAGTTAAGGAAATGGAGAAAGTCCCCAACAGACGTGCCCACAGGCCACCCAGATCCAGACAGTCCTTCACTGACGCTTTCCGCTTGATTCTTCATTAAATCAAATAGATAATTAAAGCTAAGCATTGCACTGGGAAAGCTATGAAATCTCATCCTAAATAATGACACAACAAAATGTTAATAATCATATTGGAAAATGAAGTAAAAAGCATATATAGATAGTTATATATAGATATATTTAAATAGGGAAGAACTGGTTGTTCAAAATACAAAGAAGCATGGCTTGGAGGTACACACTTATAATCTTAACATTCAAGAGACCAAGCCAAAAGTCAAGAGTTTAAGGCCAGTATGGACCACACAGCAAGTTCACTATCTCAAAAACCAACCAAAATAAAAATCAGCCACTAAGTAAATAAATAAATAAATATTGTAAGATATAGAAAAATGTCACAGACTAAAAGAAATGAATCGATGTGGCATTAACACTGTAAAGCTTGACTGAGCATGGCGCTTATGTCTATATCCCAGTGTGTGGGAGGCTGATGTAGGAGGTTCAAGAGTTGAGGCCACAGCAAGATACAGGATCAAAAAGCCAGACGTTAATAATAAAAATGTTTTTAAAGTACAGATTTTCATGAATAGTATAATTTAATTCCTTAATTTTCCAGTTAAGTGTGTGTGTGTGTGTGTATGTATGTATGTGTATAATGTGTCTGTGCCTGAGGAGTTGCTTCTCAAGTAGGTCCTGGGGATTGAATTCAGAGTGTCAGCTCTGGCAGCAGGCACCTTTACCTGCTGAGTCATTTTAACAGGTCTATTTTTCAATGTAAGGAAATGGATTTGGGGTTAGAGAGATGATTTGACAGTTAGGAGTTCCAGCTGTTCTTGCAGAGGACCTGGGTTCAATTCCATGCACCACATGGCCGTTCACAACTGTCTCTAACTCCAGCTACAGGGGATCTGATTCCAACCCTGTTTCTGACCTCTGTGGGCACCAAGTAGACACAAAAATATGGAGGCAAATACCCATACATAGAAAAATGAAAAAAAAGTTAAAAATTAAAAGAGAAAATGGATTTGGGGCCGGAGAGATGACTTGGCAGTTAAAAGCCCTTGATTTTTTTTTTCAGAGAACCTTGATATAGTTCCCAGCAGCCACACTATGTGGCTCTAACCCAAACTCCAGCTCCAGGGGATCAGATGCATTTTGGCCACTTGCACATACACAAATAAATAATAAAATAAATATATTTTTAAAAGTGGATCTGAGCATGGTGGCTTTTGCTTGTTGTCTTAGCACATGGGAGGCTGAGACAGGAAGATAAAATTGCCTTGAGTTCCAAGCCAGTCTGGGACAAAGAAAAGGGCACATTGGGGAGAGAGAGAGATTAAAAGGAAACAGAGATTGTGTCAGCAGAAACAGTCAAATGAGAATTCGACAGACGTCTCAGAGATTTGTCCTGTCATGTATTGCCTTAGCCCTTAGTTAAAGGGATAATCAAACATCAACAATAAAGTGGAACAACTTTAAAAGCTGTTTGCAGTTTCAGTCTTCTGTGTTGGATCTGTTAGGAATCGGGGGGGGGGGGGAGGGTTGTTCTGGTGGCTTGGACATCCTACTCCTGAGTCCCTGTGCTGGTTAGTTTTATGTCACCTTGACCATCTGGGATGAGTGAGTTCCAGTTTCAACCCCTATCAGGCTGACCTGTAGGCAAGCCTGTGTGGCATTGTCTTGACTGATGATTGATGTAGGAGGACAGGCGATTTGGGGAGGTAGAAGAAAGGGAGCTGAATATTAGCCTGAGAGCAAGCCAGTAAGCAGACTCTCCCGTGGCCTCTGCTTCAGTTCCTGCCTGGAGTTCCTGCCCTGACTTCATTCATGAGGAACTAGCTGTACGCTGTAAGATGAAGTAAACCCTTTCCTCCAAAAGTTGCTTTTGGTCATGCAACCAAATAGAAAGCAAACGGGTATAGGTCCTAAAAATTGTTTGGTGCTGCCATTACACTCTGGCTGTCATGGAACTAATGAGTTATTCTCTTCCTCGCAGAGGGTTTCTTCTCAGATAACGTTGTTGTGGAGAACAGGAGGCAGTGGGATACCAGACCACCTCAGACTCTCCTGCAAATAATGGCAACAGCAGATGTGACCTCCACCTGCCCCACCATGCCTGATGGTGAGTCTGTCTATAGTCAGTTATTGTCAACCAGCAGCCAGGGAAAGCCAGGGCCCGGCACAGTTGTGCTGCCAACACACATTGTAGTGGAATAGTTGTCACTTCTCAGCCACTAGACATTTTACACAGACATCGTTTTGGTCTCAGGAATAGCAAGTTGAGACTTGTCTGCTGGTTATCCTAGCAGTTGATGAAAGGAAAGAAAGGAAGAAAGTCGTACCTGCTGTCTTTCCTAAGTGAGAAAGGGGAAACAAGGAGGGGAGTCTACTTGACTTAATTCCCCACACCAGCTTAATTACAGCCTTGTAATTTCATCCATGTTATTTTTTCCCTCAGCAATAAAATTGGTCCTAGGGTCAGGGATGCAACCCTGCTGTCAAGGGCTTGTCTAGCATGCACAAGGTTCTGGGGTCAAGCAAACTCTCCTAAGGCCTTGGAAGTTACCTTAATAAGCAGGGAAGGTTTTACTGCTTACTTCCTTTGTTCCTCTTCATCACTTATCCCTGAGAATGTACTCACTGGGTTATCTCCCAAACCCTTGGAGGTTATCTTAATAAGCCGTGAAGATTTTTATTGCTCATTTCCTTTGTTCCTCTTTATCACTTAATCCTGAGAATGGGTTAAAATTTAAAACTGTGATATAGCCATCCATATCCTTGGATTCAACTAGTCCCAAGTGGAAAATATTCAGGAAAAAAAGCTCTCATCTATGCTGAACACATAGAGATGTTTTCTTGTCATTGTCCCCTAAGTAGTACAGTAAAACAATGATGTATGCAGCACTTACCTTGTAGGGTGCTGGACAAGTCACCTAGGGCTGATTTAAAGTTTATGGAATAAGCTGGAGAGATGGTTCAGCAGTTCAGTTCCCAGTACCCAAATATGGTGGCTCACAACCCCATGTAGCTAGTTGTAAGAGACCTAACTCCCTCCTCTGGCCTCTTCAAGTACTGCAATCAGACACACAAACCCATATATACATAATTACTAAAATTAAGAAAAAGTAAATCTTAAAAAATGAAGTGTGCTTGTAATTAGTCATGGTGGCATATGCTGCAATCGAACATTTGGAGGGTAGAGATGGAGACCAGGAGCGTCAGGAGTTCAAGATCATCCTCAGGTACCCAGACAGTTCAAAGCTAATATGAGTTGCATGAGACACTGACTCATCCCCACCCCCTATAAAAATGTGTGCAGAAGGTATGTATAGCTTTTATGCATATCGTGCCTATTGCATATAAATTATTAATCATACACACACTTAAAACATTAAATTATGTATCCTTGTGCTGTGTGTGGATATATCCACATTTGAACAGTGCCTGTGGAGGCCATAGGCATAGCATCTCCCTGAAGCTGGAGTTTCAGGTGGTTGAAAGAGACCATGTGGGAAGAAAACTTGAATCTTCTGCAAGAGCAGCAAGTGCTTTCAACTGTTGAACCCTCTCTTTGGCCCACATGCACAGATTTTATATCATTGGCTGTCCTGTAACTAGTCTGCTTTGGGTGCCAAAGGCTAAGAGTATATCACTAAGATGAGTTATTGTAAGTGTATGAGATGACTTAAAATTCAGTAAGACAGAGGCTGGGGAGATGGTTCAGTGGTTGAGAGCTCTGACTGCTCTTCCAGAGGACCCAGGTTCAATTCCCAGCACCCACATGGTAGCTCACAACTGTTTGTAACTCCAGTTCCAGGGGACCGGACACCCATGGAAAAACACCAAAAAAATGCACATTAAAAGACAAGAAAACCAACAAAATAAATACAAATATTTTTTATAAATTCAGTATGACATCTGAGGGTGAACTCAACTTAGAAAATAAGCACATAGAAAGTTAACACAGTTCACAAAGTAAATATGACTCTCTTCTCATCAACATGGGACAAAAAGTCAGTAAAGATGTTCACACACACACACACGCACATCTCTTTATTAATAAAATGAGGAATGTGATTACGTCCATGGTTCTAATATTCTGTGGTGTTATAAAAACTGAAACAAAGAATCATCTTTATTTTTGCTAATGCTGAATCCTCTTCAGATGGCCAAGTTATTGTGATGGAAGGCAGTCCAGAAAATGGGAAGCAGTGGTGGTGTGACGTGCCAGGGACCCTGAGTGCTCTGACAGCAACACACGCCTGCAGTAGCTCATTGTTGGCCAGTGAAGGAGAACCTGGTATGTAGTTTAATTTTAACGAAGCTGCTGGTACCCTCAAGGAGTTTTGTGAATGCTTTATGAATGCAGAAAGCTGCTAACAGTGCACTTGGCTTGGAGAGAGAACTGGGGACATGTCTTGCCTTGTCTGATTTACTGTAACTAAGCTGATTCCAAGTGATGTATCAAACAGCATGAACTTCCAAGGACAGAGGCATAATTTTGTGTAGCATTTAAGGTGACAACTGATGGAAAGGACTGGCATTCTGGGAATAGTAACCTGGCATTGCTCAGCTCTGATAGGTATTCAGTGGGTTCACTTTATTTTCCTGTGGGTAGTAAGAATGGAAACCAACATAGTTTATTTTGTTTTGTTTCCACTGTTTTTTTTTTTTTTTTACTGTGTGTCACTGTGTAGCTCTGGATGGCTGGATGGCCTGGAACTCTTTGCTGTGTAGATCAGGCTGGCCTTGAACTCAGAACCCACCTGCTTCTGCCTTCAGAGTGTTCTTCATTTTTAAAGCAATACCCTTACCTCTTTCTAACCAGAATCTTTGTGTTGTCAAGAAGATGCCAAGCTTATAGGCACAAGTGATCCTCCTGCTTCTTGAGTAGGTGCGATGACAAGCACACATCATTACATACAGCTACATTATATATTATGTGGTTATATATTATACAACACACACATACTCTCTCTGTCTATATATATGATCTCACATGATACACACCCACCCACACACACACACACACACACACACACACACACACACACACACACTGTGCCTGAGCCTTCTGAGTGCTGGAATTAAAGGCATGCACCACCACACCTGACTAATCTATGTATTTTTATTAACAGATTTCCTTATAGACTCAAAATGGCTACTACATAATTATTCATCTTTGTTTAAACTTAGGTTCATTGCTAAGTGATTTATTTTCCACTGAATCAAAATATAATTTTCTATGTTACAGTTTAACTCTTTCCTGGGATGTTTGCATCTTTGTTTTTATTTAACTTTTTCCCTAGGATGTGTACATGATGCCAGATGCTGTGTACCTATGGTTCTAGCACTTCAGAAGCAGAGGCTGGAAGACCTTGCATATGAGACAGCCTGGGTGTTAGAAATGGATTTGAGTGTTCCAAGAAAATGAACACGTGATCCAAAGTATTTCAGCAAGGCAAAAAGTTTTACTTCTGCAGAAAGGTGTGTAGTCCTGTCAACCAAACAGGCAAGCACACACTGCTGGAGCACCAAAGGATTCCCCCCCCCAGGATTTTTATTCTGAACACGAAAGGAATACAGAAACAGGCAGATATAGTTATTATAATACCTGACAAAATAGATTTAAATCCAACACTAATCAAAAGTGATATGGAAGGACATTTTACATTCCTTAAGGAAAAAAATCTAAGAAGATATTACTGTCCTAAACATTTGTGCACCAGAGAGTCACCCACTTTCATAAAAACAAATGCTATTAAATCTAAAGTCACAGACTAACTTTGACACAGTGACATTGGGAAACTTCAGCTCTCCACTCTTACCAATCCAGACAAAAACCGAATAGAGTAATGGTGGGCTAAATGACATCATAAATCAAATAGACCTAACAGACATCCAGAGGATACTCCACCCAAACACTAAAGAATACATTTTATTTGTTCTCAGTAGCCCATGAGACTGTCTGCATATTAGGACACAAGGCAAGGCTCAACAAATTTACACAGGAAGATTGAAACAGCATGCTGCGTGTTATCCGACCACAAAGGAATAAAGCTGGGTGTCAACAGCAATAGAAGGAACAGAAAGCACACAAACTCGTGGAAAGTTAACAATGTACTACTGAGTGAAAACCATGTCAGTGGAAAAATCAAGAAGGAAGCTTAACATTTCCTAGAACTGGATGAAAATTAAAACTCAACACATCCACATCTGTGGGACACAATGCAAGCATTCATAAGTGCACATTTTATAACACTAAGTGCCAGCATAAAAAACTGGAGATATTGAACACTAATAACTTAATGACCAAATTGACCAAGAAAGAAAGAGAAGACCCAAGTTAATAAAAGCAGAGATGAAAGGGAGACATTACAACAGACACGGAGAAAATTCAGAGAACCACAATGTACTAGAAAACTCCATACTCCAGCAAACTGGAAAATCTAAAAAGAAAGAAAGAAAGAATAAAAGAGGATGGATTTCTTAATACCTATCAAAGTTAACAAATTGAAGTAATTAATTTAAACAGACTTATAATAGCCAATAAGATGGAAGCAATAATAAAAGTCCCAACTAAAAATGTTCAACCCAGATAGATTCTTCAGTCTTCAAACCTTCAGACCTTCAAAGAAGAACAACTACACTCTTTAAATTATTTCATAAATTAGAAAAGGAATACTTTAAAATTACTTTTATGAAGTCAGCATCACCTTGATAAACAAACCTGAAAAATATCCAACACCACTGTCCCCCTCCCAACACACACACCAGGAAAGGAAGAAAATTAGTGGCCAAGTTTTCTATTCAACATAGATGCAAAAATTCTCAATAAAATAATTATAAACCAAATTCAAGAACACATCAAATAGATGACCAGGATCAAGGTGGATGCATCAAAGAGATGCAGGGATAGTTTAATATAAGTAAAAAAATGAATGACCCAAGAACAGAAACCCCATGATCATTTCATTGGACTTAGCAAAACCTTTTTACAAAGTCCAGTATCTCTTTATGATTAAAGTCTTGCAGAATCTAGGGATACAGGGGACATATCTTAACATAGTAAAAGCAATGTACCAACATCATACTAACTTGAGAAAAAGAAAAATCAAAGCATTTGCATTAAAATCAAACTAAGAGAAGAATTTCCACTCTTCCCATTCCTGTTCAATGTACTTCTTGAAGTCTTAACTTGAGCAATAATATAATGAAGGAAGTAGGGAATACAAATAAGGTAAAGAGAAAGTCAAATTATCCTTAGTTGCAAATGATATTATTCCATACCAAAAAAAAAGATTCTAAAGACTCTACCAGAGAAAGCTTATAGCTGATAAATGCATTCAGTAAAGAAGCCAGAAACAGAATGAACACACAAAACATTAGCCTTCCTATATACAAAGAACAAACTAGAAAGAAATCAGAAAAATATCTCTGACTAAATCATTAAATTAAAAAAAACATGTCATAAACATTTTAAGACACTAGAAGATGAAAAGACCTCCTGTGCTCATGGATACTTCGGACTAGCATTGTGAAATGGAACCTTGACAAAGGCAATCTACAGATTCAGTGCAATTCAATAAAAATCCAACTCATTTCTTCACAGAGTTTGAAAATATAATCTTAAATTTCATTTGGAAACACACACACACACACACACACACACACATGCACACACATACTAAAAACTCAGAATAGCCAAAACAGCCCTGAACAATAAAAGAACTGTTAGAGGTGCCACTAACCCTGATTTTAAGTTATACTGGGAGCTAGTAGTAATAAAGACAGAATGGTCCTGGTATAAAAACTGACCAATTAGCCGGGCATTGGTGGCGCACGCCTTTAATCCCAGCACTCGGGAGGCAGGCCAGCCTGGTCTACAAAGCGAGTTCCAGGACAGTCTCCAAAACAATACAGAGAAACCCTGTCTCGAAAAACCAAAAAAAAAAAAAAAAACTGACCAATTGATCAGTGGAATAAAAACCAAGGCATAATCCACATAACTTAGCCACATGATTTCTGAAATAGAAGTCAAACCTATGTGTTGGAGAAAAGATGACATCTTCAACACATTGTGCTAGTCAAACTGGATGCCTGCATGTAGAAGAATTAACCTAGATCTGTATCTCTCAACCTGTAAAAAGCTTAACTAAAAGTAGATCAAGGACCTTGACATAGACCTGATGATATCCTTAATCTCATAGAGGAAAAAGTGAGGAATATACTCAAATTTAGAGGCATAGGAAAGGTCCCTAGCAGCACAGGCATTAAGACCAACAATTGACAAGTGGGACCACATGAAACTAACACTCCCATACAAGAGGCACCACCATTCAAGGAAAGCTGCAGCCTACAGAATGGGGGAAAAATCTTAAACAGATATACATCCAACAGAGGGCTATTGTCTAGAACATACAAAGAACTCAAAAACATGAAGAAAACAAACCAGTTAAAAATGGGTTATAGATCTAAACAGAGTTCTCAAGAGACAAAATATAAATGGCTGAGAAACATTTAAAACAATTTTCAGTATCTTTAGCCACTACTTTGAGATTTCATCTTACCCAAGTCTGACTGGCCAAGACCAAGAAACAAATGACAACAGATACTGGCATGGGTGTTGGAAGAGGAGAATACAAGCTGGGAATGCAAACTGGTGTAACCACTATGGAAATCAGTGTGACGTTTCAAAAAAAAAACCCTGAATATAGATCTACCATATGGTACAGCTGTACCAGTCTTGGGTATACACCCAAAGGATTCTATGTGGTAATGTAGAGACATCTGCTCATCCTTGTTCATTGTTGCTCTGTCCACAATAGCCAGGAAACATCCTAGATGTCCATTCACTGATAACTAGATAGTGAAAATGTGATGTATGTACACAATGGAATATTATTTAGCTGTTGAGAAAAATGAAACTGGGTTTGGAGAGATGGCTCAGCAGTTAGTAGCTTGAAGAGGACTTAGGTTCAGTTCCCAGCAACTACATGGTAGCTCTCAAGCATCTATTAATTCCAGTTCCAGGAGACCCAATGTCCTGTTCTAACATACATGCACACAATAATCCATACATGTAAAATAAATCTAATATAAAAATTTTAAAAGGAAGATAAAATTATGTGATTTTCAGCTAAGTTGATAGGACTGGAAACAGTCATCCTGACTAAGATAACCTAGACACAGAAAGACAATCATCTCATGCTTTCTCTCACTTTTGAATATTAGCTTTGAATGCATTCCAGACTGGTGTCTTCAGGGCTGCGGTAGGAACCAGCTGAACAACTCTGGGTCTGATCCTGAGTTGGGGGTGTGTGGATGCAGGGAAGCTAATTACCCAACGACATTAAAGATGAGACAGAAACACCTGGTCATATCAGGAGGGCTCCAAGTAAACACTGAAGGCCATGATTTATTGAAGCATCATCTTAAGTAACCATCCAAAAGCTTGGGGGGGGGGGTAATGGCAGACATCTGTTATCATGTATAAAGGGCTGAATAGGAAACATTTCCTCTAATCCTAGAGACACACCTAAGAAGCATATACTCAAGCCCTTAGACACTCCATACCAGCATGTCTCACTAGCCTTCAGAGTGGGTGTAGACTTGCCCTGGCCCAGGTCTTTTGTTATACAAAATAGGAGCCATTCCCCATGGAGGTCAGGCCATCCAGAGTTAATCAGCTGGCTCTAAAAGACAATAGAGGTTGAGCATATTTCTAGAATATTATGTGGGCCCCGACAGAATATTCAGATATGAGTGTTTCATTTGGAATGCTCATAGAAGCCAGGAGTTTGGTAAGGTGTCATTGTGGGGAGGCGCTTTCAAAGGAGGGTAGATATAACACAGTGGTATAAAGGGTTAAAGGGGAATAATGGGGCATGAAGGGTTAAATTGGGGCAGGTCATGGGAGAATGGGGTAGAAGAAGGAATGTGGAAAGGAATAGCTAATGCCAAAGGCCCTTTTGAAAAGCCACTTGGAAACCTAGTAGCTTCCTAAAATATATGGAGACATAAAAAGAATGGGGGTGAGTGACTATCTCAAATAGAAACCTCATGCTTGACAAATAAATAAAACTCCCACATCTCTCAAAGTATAAAGAAAAGTCTCAGCCTGACACATCTATGTATTTTAGTCTAAGAATGCATCTCTGAAGGAATGGCAGGACAGATGAATCTAAAACTAACTAGTAAATTTAAGGAGTATCTCTAAGAGTCGGGGGTATGTAAAAGTTAGTGCAAGATAAGGATTACTCCAAGGAGCATATTCATTTGGATCCATTTTAGTCTCAATGCCAGTCTTGTGGCTAAGGCACTCCTCTTCAAAGAACACTTGTATTCAGGAAAAGATAGGCCATAAGGCTTATTCTGAAATCAGTCTCCTGAGTAATTTAAGCTTGAAATAAGCAATATACCAATTTCATATAGTTTCAAGATGCCATGCCTTAAGCTTCTTCAAGGGAACGTTCATTGCTGCAAGGAAAGTAATATTTTACTCTCTTCAATCTAGCCTTTTTTTTTTGTTTGTTTTTTTTTCAAGACAGGGTTTCTCTGTATTGTTTTGGAGGCTGTCGTGTAACTCGCGCTGTAGACCAGGCTGGCATCGAACTCACAGAGATCTGCCTGCCTCTGCCTCCTGAGTGCTGGGATTAAAGGTGTGCGCCACCACCGCTGGCTCTAGTTCTTTTCCTAAGGGAAAATAGCATATTGATTTTCTTCCACATTCCTTTATTTTTTAGCATGTATGTGTATGTGCACATGCCATGGCATATGGAGGTCAGAGGATAATTGCGGGACTCAGTTCTTAATTCTCTTCTTCTGCCATGAGGGTCTTGGGAATCAAACTCAAATTGGAACTCAAGTTGTCAAACTCAGAAGCAAGCACCATTGTCTGCTGGGCCACTTAGCTAGCCCCACTTGTGCTGTTTATTTTAATGGTGCTAGGTATGGAATACAGGGCTTCATGACTGCCAAGCACACTCTCCCTCTAAGCTGTCATCCCAGCCCCAGAAAATGGCCCCCATAGGCTCATACATTTCAATAGTTGGTGTCCAGTTGGTGGAACTGTTTGGGAAGGATTAGGAGGTGTGCTCTTGTGAGGGCACAGTTTGAGATTTCAAAAGCTCATGCTATTCCCAGTTGTATCTCAAGCTCTCAGCTACACATCCAGCACCACAGCACCATGTTGCCTGTCCCTCTGCAGTGATGAGCTCAAAATTAAACATTTTTTTTTTTTGGTTTTTCAAGACAGGGTTTCTCTGTGGCTTCGGAGGCTGCCCTGGAACTAGCTCTTGTAGACCAGGCTGGTCTCAAACTCACAGAGATCTGCCTACCTCTGCCTCCCGAGTGCTGGGATTAAAGGTGTGCACCACCACCACATGGCTCAAACTTTTTCTTTTGTAAATTTCCTTGATCGTGATGATTTGTTATGTCAACAGAAAAGTAACTAAGACAGACGTTGGTGTCAAGGGTTGTGGGCTATTGTGTGACAGGTCCTACCATTCTGTTTCTTGGAGGGATGTGGAAGACTTTGGGACTTTGGACTAGGAAAGTGGTTGAATGCTATAAGTGGAGCTTAATGGGCCATAATAGTAGGAAGTTGGAAGACCACAGTGCTGAGAGCAACGTGGAGCATGGAGGCAGAGCTCAAGAGGTTTTAGATGTGGACAATATTAGTACCAGCTAGAGACTATCCTTGTGATATTTTGGTGAAGAATGTGGCTGCTTTTTTGTCTTTGTCCTAAGAGTATGTCTATGACTAAATTGAAGAATTGTGGACTAATTTCACTTACAGAAGAGATTTCAAGACCGCTGACTCTGCTGCGTGGTTATTAGTAATTTTTCTGTATGCAGCTGTATAATGGAAAAGAGCAAACAGGGCCAAAAGAAATACAAAATGTACAGTTTGAAGTACAAAAGAGCACCAGAAAGTTTAATGTTAGAGCCAAGGCTTGTTCCAGAAAAGAGGCTAGATTCAAAATGGAACAAAGGCAGTGGAATTCTCAGGGTGGACCCTACTCGGTTAATCCTGTAACTTGTGAAAGGAAAAGGCCTATGGAGTTTTCTGCTCCTAAAAAAATAATAAAAGCTTATGCAAATATAATGCAAGGAGGGGACCATAACCTATCCAAGCAGGCAACTGACCTTGGTGTTTGTCACAGCAAAAGAGAAGTAACTGAGATGTTGTATGGCCCAGGGTGCCTCAAACTCGTTTATCCTCCTGCCTCTGTTTCCCAAGTGCTGTGTTCCTGGCAGATGTTATCATGCCCAGATCAAGAAGATTATCTGAGAGAGTGAGAGTGAACACAGAGACTCACTGCATGGTGAAGGTCTGTATGTGTGGATTTTCAGTTATTATCTGAGATGTAAGAGTAAACACAGAGACTCACTGCATGGTGAAGGTCTGGATGTGTGGATTTTCAGTTATTATCTGAGAGAGTGAACACAGAGACTCACTGCATGGTGAAGGTCTGGATGTGTGGATTTTCAGTTATTATCTGAGAGAGTGAACACAGAGACTCACTGCATGGTGAAGGTCTGGATGTGTGGATTTTCAGTTTGCTCTGCAGGCCACACCACTGTGTGAATAAAGCACAGATATACACTGCTTTTATAGAAATGGAGGAGAATAAGGATGGTTCAGTTTGGGCAAGTCTTGTTTTGATACTCATACTTTTCCAATAATTTCTATGCAACCTCCAAATGGGCTAATTTTGTCTTTTTCTGTCTGATCTTTAAAAAAAAGTGTTCGGCCCCAAACAACTGAATATTGCATTAATTGCTTTTTCATCACTGATACTAAACACTCAACAAGAAGCAACTTACGGGACAAGGGACTTCTTTTGGTTCATAATTTGAGGAGCCACCGTCTATCATGGCAGGAGTATGTTGCAGTTGCTTGCACACCTCAGAGCACCAGGAAGCAGAGATGGGTCAGGAAGCAGGGCTGGACTATAAAACTCAAGGCTCTTTGCCCAGCAATCCACTTTCTCCTTCTAGGAACCACCTCCCAAAGGTTCCACATCTTCCCCACCTAGTACCACCAGCTGGGGCCCAAGTATTCAAACACTTGAGCCTGTGGGGGACATTTCACACCCAAACCACAACATATATCTGTTGGCATCCCTACCGGTGCCTTGCTTTGCTATCATGAATGGCATTCACCATAGGATTGTGGGCATATGTTGTTCCTCAAGTGCATAGATGAGTCTACCTTAATCTTTACCATTTCTTTCAGTAGCAATGATAAAACCACAGCTTCCTATAGAAGACCAGAAAGAGACAGAAATAGCCTCTGGCATTGTAGTGGATGAAGCACAACTGGATCCAGGATCGGATGGTGATATGTGAGTAGGTCATATGCAAGTGAGACAGAAGATGGCCTACTTAAGAGGACCAAATTTTGTAACATAAATGGATTTGTTTGATCTATGTCCCCTCTCCCCACTTCTCTGTGGTGTGCGTGTGTGTGCAGTGATGCATGTATGTCAGTGTCTAGCAGAATTTTTTTCTGTCTTAGGGTTGAATCATAAGCTAGCTTTACACCGGGGTATACATCTATAATCCCAGCATTTGAAAGTTATAGGCAGGAAAGCAGGAGGATCAAGAATTCAGTGTTATCTTCAGCTATAAGAAAATTTAAGGCCAGTTCAGGCTACATGACAGCCTGCCTCAACTCTCCCCCCACTAAATGATGAGTTGTATCATATTAACTATATATGCATGCCTGTTGGTGGTGGTGCATGCCTTTAACGCAAACACTCAGGACACAGGTAGAACTCTGTTGAGTTTGAAGCCAGCCTGGTCTACACAGTGAGTTCCAGGACAGCCAGGGCTATTATAGAGAGAAACTCTTGTCTCAAAACAAACAAAAAGCAGCCTCCAACCCCCCAAATTCCAATACATACACACACACACATATATCCATATATTCTTTATTTGTGCACTGATGATGA